ATTAAATATTAGTTTTATTTGGTCAGTGACTGCAACAAACATGACCTTGATCATTTTCAACAGATGCATAGAACCAAGATAACTTACTCAGAGAATAAAGTCAAGTTCTGCAATAGTTTAAACATCAAGAATAAATCACAAATTAATGAATGAGGGCTCAAAACTCACGGATTTTTAAACTCAATTCAGTTGGAATCAATCCTGTTTTAACTTATCATGACATCCACTAATTCAGTCATCAAAATGTCTAAATACCTCACTTAAATAATCACAAAACAAGGAATAAATCAAGGTTGCAGCTCACATAATTTAGAAAATCAGATTATATAAAACATAGTACTACATCAGCTTGCTCAACTCAGAATTACAAAGCTCAAGTATGAATAACTCAAAGTCATAAATTAATTTAGAAACCTCCCTATATACCCCACACTTGAAAGACACATTGTCTGAGTCAAAAAGTTTTAGGAAGATAATACTTGAAAAATCTTTAATCCACATAATTAATCATTACATAACTTATTGTGTACAACTAGGCTAGCTAAATAAATAGTATGACTATCCACATGTGAAACCGGTTGACTTTCATGGAATATCTTAAGTTTGTGATCATTAACCTTAAATACATTACCTGTTTTTTGGATTAGAAATTTCAACAGCTCCATGGGGGAATACTTTAGTAATAACATAAGGGTCTTTCCATCTGAATTTTAATTTACCTGCAATAAGTTTAACTCTAGAGTTAAATAAGAGTACCTCTGTTGTCCTGCTTCCTCCATGGATAATTTACAAGTTTTCACTGCCCAATATGATTTGTGTTCTATTAATTTCCACATGCAAGTGACAAGATCTACCATAAACAACTCGAAATGGGGACATGCCTAATGGTGTTCTGTAGGCGGTCCTTTGAGCTCATAATGCATCTTCTAAATGTTGGCTCCAATCTTTTCTATTAGGTTGTACAAGTTTTTGCAATAAATTCTTTACCTCTTTGTTAAATATTTCTGCTTGGTCATTTGTTTGTGGATGGTAGGTTGTAGATACTTTATGTGTAACTCCATACTTAGCAAATAGAGCAGCCATGACTTTATTACAGAAGTGACTCGAATAAGCGTACTAAGTTGGCTTCAATGTAGTTCCGAACTTCAAACACTTGCAATATTTTCAATTTTTGTCCAAATTAAATGATTCTAGTCTCCTTTGAAAGTTTTTTTAGTTAGCTTTAAAATGTCACAATTTCTACTATTTTAGAAGGTCTAATGAATTTAGAAGACTTAAATTACTGAAATATGTCCATTGGACCGACCTAGTGCACTTAATCTCTCTGTGATAATTTATGTAAACTCTAATTTAGCTTCGAATGGAATGGTTCTGGATCCTCTGAAAAACTGAATATGTCTAGTTTACAATACTTTCATAATTATGATTTTAAGAACTCTGTAAAAAAATGACCCATGGAATAGACATACTTCAATTATTTAAATCTCCTAAATTCACTCTACTTTCTAAAATAATAGATATAGTGACATTTTAAAACTAACTAAACAAAACTAAAATCATTTCATTTAGACAAATTGCATTATAAATATATAATGTAATAAAACCATGACTGCTCTTTGCTAAATATAATATAAATAATAGTTAAATAAATTTTCTTAACACATTATAAATAATAATAACATTTATTTGTCATTTTAGATAGGCTGAATCGGTCACATCAACCGACAGTTCATGAGCTGTGAATGATGCCTTACTATTGAAACTTTGGAGCCCTTTCTTCGCATACCTCAGAGGCACTTGTTGTATTAGGTAAGATCTTGGTGGCGGTAAGATTTTTGGCCTGGTCTGCACTGTATTTAATAAATGTGACTTGCATTGTTTTACTATTTCTCCTTTTAAAACCTTTTTACTCTGACTAGATTGGCATCATAAAAAATTCAATTTCTAGAGGATTTAATTCAAATAAATAAACTGTTATCATTTGAGTCAAATATATAATAGAGTAAATAATTCTAATTTTATAACTATGAAAGTAGTCATCATTTATCTGAAGTATAAACCACTAAAAATAGTAAAGAGTAGTATAGTTAGTAAATAGGAGGAGTGTGAAGAATAAAAATGTTTTTCCTAACTCTATTTAGTATAATTTGACTTGACTAACTAATAAAATAATAATAATATTAAAAGCACACACAAATTTACATGTATAAAAAAAAGTTGACACAACAGTTTTATAAAAAATCTATGGTAAAAATTAGAACCAAATTGCACAAAAATGTGTATATTAGTATAGATTAATAATTTCTTTAGAATTAATGTATATACTGATAAATTAGAAGTTTGAATACATAAAAATAATAATACATAATAATAAATGATAAAATATGGAATTTATAAAAGTTTTTGCACATCCTTTCCTATAATTTATTTTATATTAATATAATAATAATGATATAAATTTAACTAAATTACATAGAAGTAAAATATTTTGTACTTACTAAAATAAAAATTATTAATTTTAATTAAAAATTAAGAGTAAATTTATTTATAAAAAAAATGCTGAATATACATGAGATATTTTTTTTATCTTAGAATAATTAAGATGTAAGTTATAAGAGTTTAAAGTTTTTCTTTTACCATCATAGTAATATTATTAATTTAATTTAAATTTTTAATAACAAAGATAATATTATATAAAATATATAAAATAAATTTATTAAAGATAACAATAATACATAATGAAAATTTGTAATATAAAAACAGTGATATCTTAAAATTTGGATGTTTAAAGACATACATTAATACAATTACTTTCAACTTCTTTCTAAGAAAAAAAATCAAATTAACTATTTTTAAAGAATTTATGCTTATTTTATGATATATTGAGTTCCACACATAAAATCTAAAATTTAATACAAAAATAATCAATATCAGAAAATGTTGACTTATTTTCATTATATGATAAGACACACATGAATATAAGATTATGAAAAATATTTTTCTAAAGGTTTATTTTATTAAAATTTAAATATTAATAAAAATAAAATAAATATAAATAGTCGAATAAATAAAATTCTTTTAAATTGTAATTAATTTTTAATTATTTCAAAATAAATATTTTTAAAACAATTATAATTTGAATAATTAATTAAATAAATTATGTACTTAAATGTTTTTATTCAAAATTTAGTTTTGAATTTTTTTAATATTTTTTCAGATAAAAATTTTATGGTTTCAATAATGTGTTGATCAAATAATACTAATTTTTGTTCAAATTAAAATATTAAATTTAAATAAAAAACTTAAATTAATTAGAAATACCCATTCGTTCTAGCCTTGAATTTCATATAGTAATGTAAAAAAAAATGATTGTCAGAAAAAAAAATTATCATCCAGAAATAAGATAAAACTTTACACCATAAAAATTTAGTAAATTTACAGTAAAGGAATGAAAGTTTAAAAAGAAAGTTGAAGTGTCTTAAGATTCTTTGTTTTAACAATATTGCAAAACTCTTTTATAAATAAAAAGAATATAAACAAAGTAATATTCAATAATAAAAAAATCTGAAAGCAAATTGATTTAATTTCCAACTTTTACTGCCCTTTCAAAAGACTATGTATTTAGAATTTGAATTTTAAATTAGTGATTAAATTCAAACAACTACTCATCGATCCATTCACAAGTCCGATAAAACTATTTCACACAAATCTATTCACGTATTGGGACGATGAGCTTTTGGTCCACTTGGATCAATTAATCACCGGTGCATGCGGACCAACACAATTAGTCAAGGTCAAATGCCTTCATAACCTCGTCTCGTACCTCTAAGGGTTTTTCCTTCTTTCTTTCAACAATTTGTTTAAATAAAAGTAAGATTAAAGTTTTATTTCAATAATCTTGTTGATATTTATTAAGAAAGATTATTACCTAAACTAGTGAAGGAATATTTTAATTATAAAAAGATGTTAAAAATGTTTAATGCATTTTTTTTTCATTAGGTTGTGTGTAGAGAGAGACACACATTGAGGTGGTGCAAAAGAGTAAAAAGGAAGAAGATGCAGATACCACTTGAAAGAAGCAAGGGACAAAAGGGATATGAGCAAGTTGTTTGATGGCAAGAAAACAAAAGAGGAAAGGGAGGCTCAAGAATGCATGCTCCCTTCCCTCCATCCTAAGTCAATAATTTAATCAAATCATTACATGCATATTATAATCTGCTCATTTTTTAAACATAATCATTTCATATTTGGTTTGATTCATTTTTTTTATGAATATAACTATATCTCCAATATGGTTTATATATGTTAAGTTGAGAGATGTATAGTAATTAGAGTATAAAATGTGAAATTATAATTATGAACTCTGTGATGGAATTATTATTTTTTGTGAAAAATACATACAGTATATTGTTATGCATTGTCAATTGATTAATTTTTTAATAACTGTTTTAAACACAAAATTAGTTTTCATGGATAATATATTTGTTGAATTTCATAATTTATTTTAATACCCTGGCCTATCTGACTACTTTTTAATATTATATGAATGACTTTCCAAGATACAAAAAGATTGAGTAGAATTTTAGTAGTCTATCACTTCCCACACAAAGAACACTGAATTTAATCAGAAATTGCAAAAGCCACAAACAACAGCAACAAATTAATTAGGCCAACATAAATATCAATAACATGTTTTATGGTCAAATTATACTTGAACAGAAGGAATATTTTGTGATGATTGTGTGACTATGAATCATGATCAAGAAGGGCAATTCATTTCTTGTAGTAGATGTCACTAAAAAAATCATATATCATTTACAGACACAGATTTACAGACCTGGTGGGTTAATTAGAAGCAAAACAAACTAACCCTGAAGGACCTGATACTCATCTCGATTAACCTGTTCAGTTCATCTAAAATCTGCAACTCCCATATATAAAATTAAATTTCAAGAGACAAAATTCGAGTCTCTATGAAGGAAGAGTAAGAAAAGGACTCATCATGTCTCATTAACTGGTTTGCTCAACTTGAGCAATAGCCCATTAGAATTGGCGCATTCAAACAAAGCCTTAGCAGTCATTTCCCTCTCAAACCTCCAAATATAGTTCAATCCCACGAGAAGTTCGGTGATGGCAGCCTCAGTCTTGTCCTTGTTGGCGAAGAACAAAGTCTGCAACAGCAACACATTGGTCTTGGGAACCATGTTGTGTTGCTCAAAGCTTCTCTCACTCTGCCACTTTATCATGTTGTGTGCCAAAGGTGACAACCACCCCAATATCCTCCCTAACGCGTCCCTCCACTCACCAGCAAGAACAGGATCACTCGCACAAAACCCCACCCCTCTTAACCTCCCCCTCAAACCCCACCTTATGCTCCTCGGCAACATGCCATACAGATCATCCCTTGCATCCAACCCAACCAAGTGTGGTGACTTTATCATCTTCTCCATCACTATGATCAAATTCGCATAGTGCAAAGCCAAACCAGCAGCCCCCAACGTGCTCTCGGGTGGCCTCAGAAGCTTCGAGTTAGACTCAAAAAACCCACTTCCCATATCGTCACTGACCTCTTCATCAGGCTTTGAGTCTTGCTCCAATGACCCAGAAACAACGAAATCATTAGGGCTTTGATCAGATGGATAAACAGTGGCCGAAGCAGACAAAGTACGAGACAGACAAGGCATACGGTGACCGATTCCAAAGACAACCTTAATCCTTGCTAAAACAGTGAAACTGAACCTTACAAGGAGCACGACAACGTTGTCGAAACTCCTGCTCCATAGTGATCTTTCTTTGAGATCCTTCACCTCTTGCTTCTGCCAGAAAATCTTCTGCTGAACTTCGTAGAGTTTTTGCTGGTCTTTACTCCCAACGTTGTTGGCCTCAGCGTGGTTCATAGCTTTCCTGAAGCCGCTTTCCAGAACCGTGAGCTCCTCCATTTCGCGGTAGAGGGTTGCCGTGAGCGTCACGTAACGCTCCATTTTCTTGAGCTTTGATTCGGTTTCTTTTGGGCCAGGGAGGGCCCATCCGTTTGGGTCGCGGCCCGAGTCTGCGAACTCGAGGAAGTCCTGCTGGAAGGGGCGCAGGTTTGGGTCCTCGCAGCGCGCGCTGAGTCGGGTCACTGAGTTCGCCACGACTCTGAGTGACTCGGCGAACTCGGCGCAGGCGAGTCCTAGGAGAAAGGACTCGTCGTTGGAGATGATCTTCCTCACACCCTCGAGGTTGACAGCGTCGTTTCGGATGCGGACGATGGTGGCGTCGGATAGCGAGTGCCAGAGGTGGAGGAGCTTCGACATGACGCCAGCAATCTCGAACGCCAAAACTCCGACGTTTGGTTTGGACTTGAACGAGGGTTTCTTTTTAAGAAGCTTGGGCGGAACCGAGTCGAACTTGTTTGATATGGCGGTTTTGACCTTGACGAGGAGCGTTTCAAGGGCCATGGTTGAGTTTAAGGTGAGTTTCCTCTGGGTGATTTGCTGGTTGAGTTAGAGTAAAGTAACGTGCACCATATGTTTGAGAAAATGTATGTGAAAAAGTGGGAGAGATAAATAAATAATTGAGGAGTGGAGAGGTTTTGGCGAAGAGCGATAAGGATAAAGGAGAAGAGGATTGAAAATGCTGGAGAGGCTCGTGGGGTGTTTGATCAAGGGTGGGTGCTCCAAAGATATTGATTGTGTTTATTAACGAGAGAGAGAGAGAGAGTGAGTGTGGTTAAAGTATTTCAAACCACATGCAGTGGCAGAGCGTGTGGCTTGTTGCATCAGAGGGTGTGTTTCTGGTTTAAGATTCAGTCGCTCTAAAAGCGCGTGGAAGAGGCTTAGCTTCTGATTATGATTTATGAAGCTTGAAGCTCCTCCAATGTGTTCTTTTGTGTGTTTAAGTTGGGGGTTGGGATTTTGTGCTTTGGTTTTTACTTTGTGGGTTTCTTAGTCTCTCTTGGTTGTTGAATTATTTGATTTATACTAATACTATGCAGTTGTTGGTAAAGGAAACTTTTCTGTTATGTTTGGATGCAAAGAAACACTTTTGTTTCAATGCTATTGTATTCTTTTAGGATTTAGGGCCATGTCATTATTGGTGCCTCTCTCTCCTCTCTCTCTCTCTTTTTTCTTTTTTTCTTTTTTATCTCCATGGTTCTAAAAGGAATTGATTTCGTTTGTGAGATTATTGCCCTACAATTACGAACTTCGAATCACATGATGCAGTCTACATATAGAGCCAAATAATTAAATAAGGAATACATTGAAAATTGAAAGGATAGTGAGTGATAACTAATGAGCTGTGAAAACGCCATGGTGTGAAATAAAAGCCTCTATTCATTGGTCCAAAGATCCTTCATCAATTCCATTGACTGATAGTATTTCTTAAATCTTTATATATAATTACAGGTCCAAGGTTCACTTATGCCAATTTCAATTATTTAAGACTGTGAGATCATCATTGAGAATAAAACCAGGTAGAGATATAGTGGTCACTGACGATAATTTTGTTGGCATTACACATCATATTTAGAAATAATGAGAATAGAAAAAGAATTTCATAATGAAAAAAAATCAGTTATATATAACATCAAACGTCACATAATCATTTATGTGTTTATAATTCTATACAATAAATTGGCATAGAATATTCCTATATAGCTAGCTAGCATGCATGTGCCTATGAATTATACTTTGACAGTTTGACCAGTTAAATGATCTAGGCAAATACCAGATAATTTTCATTCTCTTGATAGTTTAAGTTGCTGTAATATGTTTTCCTTGGGCCATGATTGAGACCAAAACAACAAGAAGATAAATCTTACAACCACGGTTCTTTATCTCTGAATATATATTATAAATCTGGATTGTCCTATGAATCCAATATATTGGCGTGGGAAGTTCAACGTCTGAGAGGTTTTTTGTGTGAATGATATTAAGTGTAGTTGAAACATTATTTGTTTGTATCAAACAATTATGAGCATTCCAAGCAAGTAATGTCAATTGGTAAAAACAAAAAAGCAGTGGTGTGAGTGTGCTTTATGATGATAATTAATAGATGAAGTTTGACTAGGAATAGTTACGAGAGAGAGCGAGAAGATATATATGGAGGAAAGTGGTAGAAGCATGTAGAAAGTGGTGTGCTTAAGGAGAGGAGGATATTACATTCAGCATAAAGACACATGTAAGTATATATGGTGCAGATTAATTTTAGATAGTGGAAAGTAATATACCCCTAGCCTCCCCCGCAGTCTTAGGGAACTAGGTCACTCATTCACATCACATGGTTAGTGGGAAGGGTGTGTTGGTCGGATATGTTATTGGAGGCCATCAAATGCTATTGAGATATATTTTTCAATAGCTATTTTCTGATTAAGATTTTGATGAAGTGGGAGAAGAGGGGAATGAGGAGATACTACATACATATATGCTAAAAGTAAATGGAGTCCTTATTAAAGGGTTATTTTTTCAACCTTTGCCTTGCCTTTAGCCAACCAATGGAAGGGCAATGAAGGATTTGTATGTTGCGTTGTCGGAAAATGAATGAGCAGCCATGAGCCCATCCTGCATTGATATTGGTGCCTTTAAAAAGCAAACTCATGCATTCCTTCATCCTTGCTTCCTCTCAGTTATTCTTCCACCTTTGTAATAATTTTTCTCTTCTTCTCTTTCAAAGACAGGCTGCTACTTCTATTATTATATTCTCCCATTCACCCTTTTGCACATGGGGCAAAACTTGGATACTCAACGTGGATTTTATTTTCTTTTGGAGACAATTAGTTTGTGCCTTTTTGCTCATCTTAAATACATTTATTTTCTCATCTCCCACAATTCAATGACATCCAATATGTCCATTAATTGCTTGACACCAAGGTGGACAGATATATATATATATATATAGAAAGAGAGGCCGCAGGGATAGGGATATGCAGCTAACGAAAGCAAAACTATTGACCTTGTTAAATCCTAGAGAAATATTTATATAAATGGAATTTTGGGGAAGGAAACCTCACATTGTTCTTGAATTCATGACTTCAACTTGAACATGACACGTGACATATAATGAGGTCAATGCTGTTTAGTAATCTTAGTCAGTGACGATAAAGAGAAACAGGAGGGTTGAAGTTTGCTTGAGACTGTTGAGAAAACAAAGAATATGGATTTTACTTTGTCTTTTTGTAAGTATGCAACGAACCCATTTGCGCAATCTAGGAAGATATTAGATTCTCAACCTATTATGCCAAGTACCCAAGTACATCTTTACCTTAATAATTTATGACAAACATTGCGAAACACTTATAATTAATGGCCTGTTTACAGCATCAAATCCCACAAAAAGTGAAAACGATGTAGAAAAGTAATCTTCTTAAATGGTAGGTTAACGAAAGAGCTAGCATTACAGACCCATACCATTATCATTATTTTTCACGAAAGGTACTACTATTTATGTTGTAATGTCCAACCGAGGAGGTTTCCTAATTAATTAGTTGCAGGAATCTTCCTGAATTGAAGACGAAAAAGTTTCATCATCGTATATATTCACTTGTATATTTAGTTAAATGAAAATAACTTGAACCACTTTTTAGATGAGTACAATTATAGGGAAGTCCTGCTAAGTTTTATTATGTGTATAATGTTTTTGCTGCAATTTGATCAGCATATATAGAAATATGAAATCCATTGATAATAATGCTAGCATAGATGTTCTATGAAGAATAATTCCAGCTTCCAACTATATGCAAACAAATGCTACACATTCCATGTTGATATTCAGATCACCTAAGCCATTAATGGAGCTTTCTATGTTTTCATTATGCTTATCTTTTACACGTAGCAGTTTACAATGAACAGTACTCTCCCACACCAACATTATTCAATGCACCAACAAAGTTGAAAAGGAGTTCTAGCTAGTGTGTGCTGGGGGTACAAATTCATGCGGACATGCGACCATCCTAATCTAGTTCCATGCGTGGGGTGGGGCTATATAGCAAGCATGCATGAATCTGTCATGCTTTCACTCTAACAGCCACGAATACCACCAATCCATGAAACCAAAAATTATGGGGCAAAGTGTCTTTCTTTTGGAGGGTGGTCAAAAACAGCTACTACATGAATTCATTACATTGACATATATATATGCAGTGCAAAGTATGTATGCTATAATTGGGAAGAAAAACTGTGAAGTGTGCTATCATAGTGTGTGATGTCACTTTAGGTCCTAGCTAATAGAACATGTTTATAACCTCACTGATTAATTTTGCAGAAGTGGGACAGGTAAACCTTTGTTCGACAAAGTTGCACACAATCAAAGTTCCTACGGGTGTGAAAGCTACGAAAACATAACCATTTGTTTGGGTCATGAGGTGGGTTTCCATGGATGGATAAAGTCAATGCCAGGACATGTACTTATATAAGCATGTCTTCATACTTTCGGCTCCAGCAAATCCCATTATCTTCCAGGCTATAATCAAAATTAGTTTATTAATTAACCACTATCATCATATAGTTTGTTGAGGGTTTTACATATAATTAATTTATCATCAGAAAAAAATATGTTAGAATAAATATAAATATTATAATTGCTACACTTCGTATTTTAGTCCTTGAATAATCTTTTCATACCTAACCATTGATAAAAAAGACTAATCTGAAAAAGCTCCTATACTTCAGGGACAATCCAAGATCGTGAACATAATTTAAGAACATCCTAATATCTTAGAATAATATATAAAGGAGAGAAACCACAAACCTAATATCTTATAATTTTAGATGAAGTATGATAATATATTCTCTTATTAGTTCATAATCTTATTCACAAATATTTCATTCATTCAAAGTTTTCTTATTTAAAATTAAATTATTCTTCTATCACCTCCTTTATAATCATGTAAGATCATCCATATGTTATTATTATATATATTTGTTACGGTATTCACTTTTATAACTTTATTATATCTTTAAAATACTATTTTATATATTTATTTTTATAAATTTTCTTACCAATTCCAATATTATGTAATAAATTTAGTTTATTTTTCACAAATGTTTTAATTCTATAATTTTAGCTTATACAACATTTATCTACTATTTTTATCGAAATCTTTGTTATTAATATTATTTTAATTACTTTAATTTTTTATTGGATTATATATAATTTGTTGAATTTAGATTTTTCTAATATATTTTATAAATTTTTGAATTTTTTATTAGATTTTCCTCTGTGGAATTAAAGTTAAATATTTATAGATTAATTTAGCGTACGGCTAATAAAAGCCTAAAAACAAATTAACATAAGCTCTTGTTAATAACTTTTATCTCATTCTTTTTCTATAATTTCATATTAAACTTTTTCTTTTCTTTATTTTATTTTTGACTTTTTTTTCTCCTCTTTCAATTTCATACCCTCTTCATCTCACCACTGATCACATATCATTCATATTACTATGATTTTGTGATTGATTTGAAGTTTATTCATGATCACTCACTTGACTTCATTTTTTATTAATAAGATTTGGATCTTGATATAATTGATTGAATATTATAAATACTTTATTAAGTTATTTAGGATAATAATTTCGTCTAGATTAATTAATATTATTTAAGTCAATTTATAATCAATTTAATAAGTTATAAATATTCAATTTGCTTTAATCGATTGCTCTTCTTTTCTTTTTCATAATTTTTTTTTAATTCGATTTCAAATAAATTCTTCCCTACATTTATTTGTTAGTTGTTGATACACAATATGAGTTTGATAACATTGAAATAGTTGACAGTTGAATATATATATATATATATATATATATATATATATATATATATATATATATATATATATATATATAATTCAAATAAATTAAAATAAAATATTTAAAAGTAACTTCAATCTCTTACAATTATTTTTCATATTTTTGTATAGAATTAGTTGGTCGAACACGCAACCAATATAGTAGATTGTTGCATTTATGTATTAACATTGTTTAATCATTTATTTGTGGATCAGCTTTTAACTTGTTTTATATTTTGGATTTGTAACATCAGATTGGCCAAATTACCAATTACTTTGTCCCTATTCATCAAACTCCAATGTTAAAATAAGTAATTGTTGAATTTGGAAGATACCATATTGCATATAAATCATGAGAAACTAATGATAATATAAAAAAGGGGGAAAAAAACAGGTATTAGTTGATTTATGATATTAAACAGGACCCATAAGCCAAATGATAAAAGTATTTAAAAGAGAAATTGAAATAAATGAAAGGCTTTCTTTTTATGTCAAACAAAACACTCATTTTGCTCTTTCTATCCCAAATTTGATGGAGACCTAAGTGTGCCTTGCTAAGAACCCACTAAGAGTGCTTTTGGAAATTAAGAGGCTCAAATTGACCTAAGAAATGTTCATGTGAGAAATTTATATTAAAAAAATGGTCTTTAATTAAAGGTGTATATACCTTGTTGGGGTAAATGGAGGAGGCATTGGGCATGGGAAGGGAAACATAGGTTATGAATTTATTATGGCCTCTCATTCATCAGAAATGAAGGGGTTATGTCCCACTTTGGGTGGACATTCCTTTAATAAAATGGTCCTCAAAATAAAATAAAGAAAGGTGAGTGAGGAAAGAGTAAGTGAAGAAGGATGAGGAAACATTCAAACATGGCAAATGAGGTTGATGATGATGCTCTTTCTCCCTCTTTTGTTTTTCCTCTTTTGCCCCCCACTCAGCACTATAATATGCACGTGTGTCATCATCATTGTAGCCACGTACTAGACCAAATTATTCAATCTCACACCTCACAACCACGTGCATGAACCGAAACACACGCGGGACAATGCCATTAGCTTAAATTAATTACCCCATTTTCAAAGTATTTTTAGTTAATTTTAAGTTAAAAGACTTGGGTTGTTTGGGCTCTCCCTTATTGCTAAGGCCTGGGTGATCTTTAAAAAAAACAAAACAAAAAAACAAAACAAAAAAACAAGTTCCTTTCTTCTTCGACTCACCTCCATAATTAAATTAATTTCTGTTTTACTTTTATACCTATCTTTATTTTCATAAGTGCTTATTTTTTGTTTTTAAACTTTTGAATGCTAATTTTTAAATCCTACTAAAATATTTTTATTTTTTTCTCTTATTATTTGCAGAATTGCAAGAAATAAGTAAGAATTTTCGGTTGTTTGTAATTTGTATCAATTTTTTTTATCATGTGTAGTATTGGTTAAACAATTTTTTGCTCAAAATACGTCCCAGAATTGGGAATACAGATTTGGAAAGAAATTTTCAGAAATTTATTCTGAAAAAATGGGTTCTAAAATATATTTTTAGAATTAATTTTTTGGCATTATGGATTAGTGGATCCGAAACTTACCTTCTCTCATTTTTTTGTTCTTTTCAAAAACTCATTTTACACATTTGAAATGCATTTTTGAATTGAATTTTAAAAAAATATATTCTTGTATACATTTTTAGAAAGTCAATTTGAAAATATAATTTGAATTGAGTATTTTAGAACTCAGTTTGATTTTTATAAAATTGTTTCAGATCAAGCAATTTGAGTCTTAACATAAAATTTCAGTATAAAAGCAATTAACAGATATATAATAAGATTGGAAACGATTAATAGAGAAAATAACATAAGAAACCAAATATGCAAATCTACGGAGATACTAAACTTTCAAAAACAAAATAAAAAAGAGATTAAAATTTAAAACAAAAATATTAAAAGGGTATTTTGATTAGAGATGGTAAAACGGATCAACCTGTCCCGTTTTGGTCCGTTCCCTCTTTGGTCTCGCTAAAAATGGAGCACGGACTATAGGTCTCGGTTCATCCGTCAAAGAACGAGTTGGACCGTTATATTTTTTATTTTATTATTTTTAAATCAAATCTTTCAATAAATTTAATAATAAAATTTTCTTTTAATATATATATATATATATATATATATTTCAAGTTAATAATATAAATTAATATATTATTTTAATAAATCATATTTTAAAATAATTAAATTAAGATAAAATTTATATAATAATAAATATATGTATATAATAGTAAAAAAATTTAAATTTTTTTAATATTGAAATATTGAAACTCTATTTTCATAAATTTTTATATTATATATTATTTTTTAACTTTTTGTATTATATTATAATAAAAAAAACTATTAATAAAATAGGCCACAAGCTGTCACTCCTCACGGTTTGGCCTGATATCTGACAGGATAAAACAAAATGTGTTGAGAAACTAAAAATATTAATCTACTTCGTCGCGGGTTGACGGGCCGACCGCGAGTACCAATCCTTTTTATCCTCCTAATTTTAATTAGAAAAAAGAGCTGCATAACAAGAAATGATGTGTAGATGAAAAAAGTGTCTAAGAGGAAAGGTACATGAATGTGGGCCTATCATACCTTTGGACCAAAAAACCCTTATAACTAGGAATGTTTCTTTATACATTCCATGCTTATCCAAAATCTAACTCAATTTTATAAAATGATATTTATATTTTATTTACATATTATAATTTAAATATATTTTTAATTAATATAAGATTTTAAAAATAATTTTGTATCTAAAAAGATAAGCATACCATCTTTAATTTAAAAAATTAACGCTTCAAACAGGTTCATATGTGAAATTATGAATGGTTACAGGAACAAAAATTGTTTGGCATGTAGTGATGGATAGGAACAACACCAACTTTGAACACAGTATAGTTCACTATCTGTTCTCTTCAATATCATATTAATTTTATTTCAGTTGAGGTTTTACATTGATATTTAGGGATGGCAAGGGACTGCCCGCCCTGTTTTGCCCGTCCCGCTTTCTGCCCGTCAAAAGAGAGGGCGGACTGCCTCGATATAGTTATGATGACTGTAGACCTTGATCCGTTCCGTCAAGGAGCGGATTGGTCCGTCATAATTTAGAAAAAAATAATTTTTTTTAAAATAATTTTTTTAATAAATTTAATAATAAGATTATTATTTGTTTGTCAATAATTCAATATATATAATAATATAAATCAATACATTATTTTAAGAAATTATAATTTAAAACAATAATAAAATTTACATAATAATAAATAATAACAATATATATATATATATATATATATATATAAATAATGTTAAACTTATAAAATTTAAACTTTTTATATTGAAAAATTCAAATACCTATATCTTTTTTATTTTATAAAACTTCATATTATTCTTGGTTGAGTAATTCTTATACCTTTAATTCAAGTAATAAGGATAAAAATAATTAGTGCTTAGGATAAATAAGGAGAACAAGAGAGAATGTTATATGTCGGGAATGAGAATATTTTATGTGAGAATAAAATTTTTTTAATTCTCTTTTTAAAATTTTTAACTTTATATATTATCTTTGTAATTAATTTTATTACAATAAAAAATTATTTTTTTATTAATTAGGTGGGTCGTGGATCGACCCACCCCGTCCCGCGGATTGGCTCGATGGGTTGGCGAGCTTGACGGACGGCCAAAGCGGCTGAAAACACCAACCCACCCGCTGGCCATAACCCGTTTTGCCATCCCTATTGATATTTAAAAAATTGACTTATATTATTCTTGTAATTCACACTTTTCCTAATCATATATTCTTCTCAAATTTTAGTAAGGAACAATAACTACCATTTGTGTCGATCAAAATATGCCCCACTTTTTATTTCTAATCATTAATACTATTTAAATATGAAAAATCCTTGTAATTTTTAAATTTCCACTCTTTTTCAATTTGTGACAAGACATTACAAGAAAACATATATTTTATATTTATTTTATTTTTCATTATTTTTTATTTTTATGTATTATATTTCCCTATTATTTGCCAGATCTGCCCTCAAGCGGATATTTGAGTCCATGATCCCTTGTCCTCGAATTTGAAGTGTGTCCATTATCAAAACTTTGCTCTGTTTTTTCTTTTTCAAAGTTCAATTTTAAGTTTTTAATTTTTTTTAAATAATGCATTTCAAATTTTGACAGATTATTAAAAATGGAATTTTTTGTTTCTAAAAAATATTAAATTTAAACTAAACTTGTTTTAAAGTGAAAATGACTTATTTTATCTCTTTTTCTATAAAGAAACATGGGTAAAAGGAAAATAAAATAGAAAAGAAAAGTAAATGCATGTAACCTAGAACTTAGAAATGGCCATGAATTTTAGGTGAGGTTCTTGTTCATAAACTACATCTGAGACTCTTTCTGTCCCTTTCTCTTCAACAACGTTCCATTCCTTGCGCACTGGGTCTAGCATCAGAAACACAGGCAAAACTTGTTGCCATTCCACCCAAATTCTTCATTCTTTCGGTGATCCAACATTTTCACCATTCCCTTCACTCTACACCCGGAAAAATCTCCTCGCGAGGTTTCTGCTTTTCGTTCATTCTGTGTTCCAAATCTGTTTTTTTTGGTACATTTTCTTTCTGGGTATGTTCATTTGCTTGAATTTTTTTTCCTATTTAAATAACAATATTTTTAGGTATTTATGCTTCATCACATTTTCTGGCGCAATTCTTCGTATAGTATTGATTATAGATGTTTTTGTGGTTATGACAGGGTTTCTCTCCGGGATTGATCTAATCTATGTTTTTTTCATCACTGAATGCTTTGCTATTTTGTATGGTTTTGAATGATTTCGTGCTTCGGGGTTCAGTGTAGAGCTTGATTGTATTGAATGAATGACATGGCTTGGACTGCTCTCAAAGATTCTCCCAGAGCGTCTTCCCATCCAAGGCCTCTTTCTTGGATTGTAGTTGTGGTGGGAGCACTGGCTGTTTTCTTATTTTGTGCTTCCTGGGTTCTTGTATCATCCCCAGTTAGTGCCACGGTTCAGGGTTATTTTTATAGTGTAGGTAGTTCAGAGAAGTTAGATTTTCCCGTGTCTTTAGTGAATGAATCTTCTATTGATGATGGTCACTTGGATACAAGTTTAGATCGTGTTGATAATAAACCATCCTCTGAGGATCAGCATTCTTCCACAATTTCCAACGAGGTGTCTAATGATAATAAGATAGAGCAAACTAATACTGCAACAAAATCGCAAGAAGACTTGAGTGAGTCTACTCCAGTGAACCTTCCAATAAACGAGGAAGTGAACAAAGATACCGTAGTTTCTAGTTCAGGAGAGCTAGTGACTTCGGTCGGCGACAGTGCAGGTGTATCCAATAGCAGCTCACCTGCTAAAGAAAGTGCATATGTAGCCAGTAGTAACTTGCCTGCTCAAGAAAGTGCAGATGTATCCAATAGTAGCTTTCCTGCTCAAGAAATTTCACAAATTGATTCGAATACAAGTAAAACTATGCCATTGGCAGGTTCCAATTCTTCCAATGAGACAGGTAATATTAAAATGGAAGAACCCGCTCCAGTGACTTTGATCAATCAGCCCAATGTTGAAAGTACAAAATCAAATGAGACCTCACCATCTTCTGATGATTCCACATCAACTGTTGTTCCAGCATCCATCGAAAAGCAAGAAAGCACATCCTCTGCTGGTAAGCTGGTTTGGTAAATTGAGGTCGCACTTGTAATGTTTAGCTTGTTGTCTATATATTGTGTATTAACCTTCCTTTTATTTTGATCTTTGCGTGAATTTTAAGTAGGGCTAGTTAATAGTGTGAAGATTATTTTCCCTTGGGATAGGTATATCATGGTAGGCAATAGTGTGCTGTAGTAGCACTAAAGCAGAGGGGCACTACCATGATTTAAACTTCACCCATTTTTAACCAGGGTTTTAAATAGCACACTATAGCCGTGGAGTGGTTAAGTGTGGCAGACCAAAAAGTGGGATGACTAGCAGCCAGCTATAGCGAACAGGATAGAGATGCTATGTGTTGATTCTATAAAGAAGGCCCTCTGAATTAAGAAGTTAGGTATTTTGAGGACGGGTATTTTTTGAATTTCAAGCTCCAAATATGAATTCTATAATTGTAATGGTTGTGAAAATATTAAAAGAAGACGATTTGGATTTATAGATGATTATAGTATTGTCATATAGTGATGTTATTTTATAGTGGAATTCCTAGGATCCACGATTGCAACATGATTTGCTATTGTGACCTCTATGGGTGTTGTGGTTGTGACATGTGTCATGCATCCTCTTGACATCGCTTGCAAGTCTCTGGTCAATTAAACTTTTGAGTTAATATTTTGTCAGTTTTGATTCATTTTATGTTTAACTGCATACAACCTTTTTTTGGTTCATTTATAATTGATATATATCATATATTTCGACTGCTATGTGACTTCTGCTATTTGCCTGCAACATAATCTGTTATATACTATGGTGAAATATTGGCTATCCACCATTTTGCACGATTCGCAACCCTGGATGATTGATAACTACTATCTAGGAAACTTGTATTTGTATTTTACCTGTATGTTTTGTTTAAGGCAATTTTGACTTTAAATTGTTAATTATGGAATGAATTTTGTGTAGGTTTTATCATTTTTGAGAATTTATATGTACATAGATAGTATAAATTATATGAACTGTTTGACAAATACAATAGCATCTGCTATCTAGTAATAGCTTATTAGTTTCAGCCACTTTGTTTCTGTGTAAGATTTAAAACACTTTTTACTCCTAAAACATTGTTGTTTAAAAATGTTTTTGAGTAAAATTTTGACTTCTCCCTTATTTTCTAATGCAATTTGTTGGGTAAAATGATAAGTGACATTATTTATCATGAGTTTTTTTTTTTTATTTGAGTATTTATATGTTTAGAATAAATAATGTATCTTTTATGTAATATTTAATTAAAGTAACAGTAATCCCCTTCGCACTTTAGAGTCTTTCAATTGGTCACTGTGCACTGCTATCCAAAGATTCATGACCATGATGGGAGCATAAAACTGAGTTCCCATTAATTTACTATCTTTTTTGGGTGGTAGTGAAAAATAGAAGGATATTTGAATCTCATAATAATTTACCAGAATACTCATAATACTAATGTATAGAACGTGAATTAATTGGAATATGAAACATGTTATTCTAATTTTAAAAAAATTGAATATACAGTAGTTTAATGATAGCATTTTAAACAGAAATAATATGCAAATGCAATATCGGTAGATGATTTTCCTATCAGCCATAGAGCCAAGGCTCACCTATGAGAAGAAGACAGTTCCTGTCTTTCAAAACTGAGAAAACACACTGGACAGCAGAAACTATCCACAACCCATCCTCTAACTATACAACATAAAATTAGATAACTGTTAAATAACTGCCCTATTATTTATTCTGGCCTGCTATATTTTTTTATTTCTCCTAGGGTAAACAAGCCACATTGTTGGTGTATTATTGTCTGAATGATCCATAACTTAACTAATATCTGGACTTTTTGGTTGTAACATTTAGCTGTATGGACTAGAGTCAAATATGCAACAAGTAATTCAATTATTTTATTTAGGCTAAAAGTATACTACAATTAAGCACTCTGTAGTCTAGTTTTGGTTGATAAACAAGGCGCAGACACATACAGTTAGACAAGAGTCTGAACCATTGATCTTGCTCTTAACTAATGTTTTTTGAAGTGAGGAGATTTCATTTCTGTTGCTACATATTTTAAAATGTTCTCAAAATATATTAATTGTTGGTATTTGTATCTTGTTACTAAATGTTCTCAACCTTTTTTCTTAATCATTTGGAATTATTCTGTGTATTGTTAATTTTCTAATTCGTGTTTCTCATTCTGTTGTGTAGGTTGTGATCTGTACCATGGAAATTGGATATATGATCCATTGGGACCATTATACACAAACAATTCATGCCCTGTATTGACACAGATGCAGAATTGCCAGGGTAATGGGAGGCCTGACAAGGATTATGAAAATTATCGATGGAAGCCCTCTCAATGTGACCTCCCACGATTTGATCCGAAAAAATTCTTGGAGTTGATGAGAGGGAAGACCGTGGCTTTCATTGGAGATTCAGTAGCCCGAAACCAGATGGAATCAATGCTGTGTATTCTGTGGCAGGTTATTCTTTTATTCCTTATTGATCTGATTTGTGTGGAAAATAAAATGATTCCAATATGGCATATTTCTAGTGTTTTGTTGACTTGTCATTATTGATATCTTTTTACGGCTGGTCCATATTTGTTGTGATTATTAAGGTTGGACGTGAATTGGATTTTTAGAAACTAAATCAATATCCAATCTAGATCTAATAAAATAGATTGGATTGAAATCCAGGTACATATAAGTACATCAAATTGAGATGGATTTTTCTAATCTAGTTTAAATTAGATTAGATCCATATCCATTTAATCATTTAATTTGGATAAGATTGGCATAAAAATCGCGGCCATTACATCTGAGAAATTCAATTAAGGTTTATTTGAATTGATTTAGGTTTTATCTTTTGCTAAATACTTAAGATATTTTTCAATATTAAATTGTTAATTTTGGGAGAAAGAGTGATCATATAGAGACATGTATTCAATAATTCTAACTAAAACATTTTTTTCCATTATTTATTAATTTTTTTCATTGCTTAATTATTTTTTCTTATAAATCTTTTTCTCATTTTCTGATCTTGTGGCAAAAGGAGCACCTATTTATGCTTTAAGTGTATGTCCATTTTTTAATACAAAATGTTTGTTGATTTTTTTTTATTTCCTTTAATATATTAGTCTTTAGAAAATAAATAATTATTTATGTGATGCAGAATACTCATTCTTAATTTAAGACCAATGAAACTCCAATTGAGACCGACTCGACAACACCTCAATCAGTCATGGTCGAAATCAAAGAGGCATTTTGCAGATCGAGTCAAATGTCTTGTTGAAACCAACACAAATTCTTTTGACTAAATGATTATTTAGGATGAACCTTGATTTTAGATTTCTAAAACAAAGTATCAGATCCGTGTCTAATCTAAATCCAATTAATTTGATTGGATTTTAAATCTAAAAATATGAATTTGGATTTGAAACGGATACATTAAAATGGAATTAAAGTGATTGTATCTAGATAATTGGGGATTGGATGTGAATATTTGTTTTTCTTTTGCCACTCTTAGTGATTATGATCGAAATAGGAATACATCTTAGATATATAAGTTTTGTATACTGAATTATAGATAGTTCACTGCGAATTATAGACCATCTAAAGGCAATTCCTGCTTCAAGGGAGGGACTTGAACATGATAATTCTTTAAAGAGGCAGATGGGATAGCTTCACAGAAATTTGTATCCTGAATTATATAGACTTAAACATGATAATTCTTTAAAGAAACAGATGGTATAGTATCATCAGCCTGTGAACATAGTTTTGAGTTTATATTTGTTTGATTTGGGGTCACCTGAAGAAATAAATAGTCTTTCTTATTATGATCAATGCTTAATTTATCAAGTCTCATTTTATCAATGCATAATTTGTCAAGTCACATTTTTGTCAAAGTTACGCACAATACTAGTTTAGATTTTAAAGTCTCAAGAAAATCCTATTGGCACTTTTCAAATACATCCTTTTTGGCATCTTCAAGCAGAACTTGATTTATTTTGTTTGATATATCTATCTGTGATGTATTTCCTTGATAAAAACTGTTTTAGAAGGTAAAACCAAGCTCCAAGTGAGATGGAGTATATTTGTCTGAATATTTATTGTTTATCGTGTGGCCTTGGTGCTGCAGTTTCACCATGCCATGTTCTCGATCAAATGGTTTGTTGGCAGTTAGTATCATGCATTTGATTTTCATATACACACACACAAGGTTCTGCATTTGGGGGAGTGGGGGGGATTATGTGTGAGTCATCCATATTTCGATGACTAAAATCTTGTACTTTCAGGTAGAGACGCCGAAGAATCGGGGAAATCATAATATGCAACGATACTATTTTAGGTCCACTTCTGTTATGATTGTCAGGATATGGTCCTCGTGGCTTGTGAAACTAACATCCGAACCATTTGATTATGCTCCAGCCGGTGTAGATAAGCTCCATCTTGATGCCCCCGATGAGAAGTTGATGGAAAACATCCCAAACTTTGATGTGGTGGTTCTTTCTTCTGGTCATTGGTTTGCCAAGAAGTCTGTGTATATTTTAAACAATGAGATAGTGGGAGGACAGTTGTGGTGGCCAGACAAATCTCGGGAGATGAAGGTTGACAGTGTTAAAGCATATGGTATATCTGTTGAAACAATTCTAACTGCTATTGCTACACTTCCAAATTACAAAGGGCTTACAATTGTGCGTTCATACTCACCTGACCATTATGAGGGTGGGGAATGGAACACTGGGGGATCATGCACCGGGAAGGTTAAGCCTCTTGCACCTGGTGAAGGAGTGGAAAATGTGCACACAAATATAATGCATGAGCAACAGGTGACAGGTTTTAACCGTGCTGTGCAAAGGGCCATAAACGGATCCAAGTTGAGGCTAATGGATATTACTGAAGCCTTTCAGTTCCGGCATGATGGTCACCCTGGCCCTTACAGGAGTCCTGACCCAAATAAGATTACAAAGCGTGGCCCTGATGGAAGGCCACCACCACAGGATTGCTTGCACTGGTGCATGCCAGGCCCCGTTGATACCTGGAATGAACTTGTGTTTGAAATCATTAGGAGAGAATATGAAGGTGGAAGTGCAACATGAGATTTGTTTTTTTCTTTTTTTACTATTAAGCTCTGTGGTGTGCTTGTGCACTCAAGAGTCAATAGGGTGTGACTTGTGTAGAAATGTGACTCCCTTTGAGGGATAAAGGTAGTTGTACCACTTGAATATTTTCATAGAATAATATATTTATTTATTATATAGAGAATTTAATTTATTTTTAAAGATTGGGATGATTTTTATTATGTACAAAATTTAATTTATGTTAGTTATTTTATTTTAATTAAGATATTATCGATTTTTAAACATTATCAACTCAACTTAATTTTTTTATAGTTTTATGTAAATGAGAGTTAATAAATGTAATAAATATAAATAAAAATATATTAGAATTCAGACAGATCTGGCATTTTTACAGCATAATACACTTATAATGCTTTAACTTCGATCTAAACTCCAATGGAATTAACCATGAATGAATATTTTTACCACTTTAATTATCGATCTAATTTAAAAATGTTAGAAATACCAATACTCTCATATTTAACTTTTACTTTTATTTCAAGAAAAAAAAATTAAATAATATAAAAGTGAAAACTTAAATAAAAACAATTAAAAGTGTGAAAAAACATATTAGACCGTTAATAACTCAACTCTTATATATTTCTAGTCACACAAGTAATTACAGAGTAATACTTTTCAAGTAAAGATTCCAAATGTGTAATTAAAAAAAAAAAGCCTATGTAACGAGAACTAGTAAAAAAAATTGAAACTAAACTTTCCAATTGGTATCAAATTATGTAACATAAACTAGCAGTTAACTCCCACCATTACCTAATTTCTTCATGTGATATAGTTTAGTTATCAATTAAATTAAAAAGAATCCCAATTCATGTATAAAAAGGAAAGTCCTAATTCTCATTTACGTTACAAGTATTTATTACTATTATAGTATTAAATAAATCCAAGTCCAAACTCAATGACCTTCTCTCTCTTTTGAATATGAAATTCAAACGTACTATTGATTTAAATATTTTTGTTTTTTTAGAATCCGAAGCCCCACAAAAAGAAACAAAAAAATTATATTATTTTTTCAAAGACAGATAGTGAAGAAGGGCAACAATAAATCCAAATCAAAATCAAATCCACAACGAGCGCTCTTCAACGGTCCCTTTCCTCAAAACGGCTACTTTTGCTGCCTCTCTCTCTCACTACAATTCAAACTTCAAACTCATTTTTCACGAAACCTCATTTTCATTCTCTAAGAGAAAATAAACTCATTCCTCTTCTCAGCAGCAAGGACGGAAAATCTCAACACGAAGCGATTTACAGATCCCTGGTGTTGTTCAGGTTAGTTTTCGCATCAGTGAAAATTGTCGCTCGCTCTTCACATTCTCATGAAATGCATCCAGTCAAATCCCTAATCCGAAATCGGAACCTTTGTCTAAATGTAGACTTGCGGAATTCAGTTTATGTCTCTTTGTCTAATCTGTTACTCTGTTTCTTGCTTCTTGAACCCACATGAGTTTGTGATTCGTTTCTCGCTGCTTTGAATTTTGAATTGCGTAGCTGCTTCCACTTTCTTCTAGCTGAGATCGATCTAGCGTTTCTCTGACTCGGTTTAGTACGACAGAGTTTTGTGGTCTTACCTTCTTTTAGTTCTGATTGAATTCCGGGTTCAATTAAGGTTATTTTTATTCAATATTGTTTAGTTGTTTCTATTTTTATATTTGAGAGGATGGATTTGAGAATATGATGTACTACTTCAGTACTGGCAGTGATATCACTCGTATAGTGTTTCTCTTAAGTTGTTTTGCTGAGTCCTTGTGATAAAGGTGTGGATTTTAGTTTTCGGGGGTAACCGAAGAGGCTGTATATTTCTATATTGGTAATTCACTGCTTAGCAAAGATGAATTGTTGGATAGTTCCATTTGCAAATATATTTGAATTGAGTCATAACATGATGGGATCCTTTTTCGTCACAAGTGTTTTGTTAGTTTCTACAAGTATCTAGTCAAATTAGGTTGAGAGTTGTTTTGCAATTGGTCTTTCTGACTTGTAATGGAAATATCTCTGGTAGATACCAGTGCACAAAATGTCCAAACCTCAAAATGATCCCCTTTTGCAATCGGAAACAACTTGTGGAACACTGCTCTATGAACTTCAGGTACATATTAAGTTTTGCTGCAATTATCTTTCGTATTATCCCGTTCCTCACATCTCCAGCAGGTGTTTTGAAGAATATTCAGTAAGGTCGTGAAAATTTCTCGTTGTTTGCCTCATCTTTCTTTTAGATAATATGGGACGAAGTTGGGGAGTCTGAATCTGACAGAGATAGAATGTTGTTTGAGCTTGAACAAGAGTGTCTAGAAGTATACAGAAGGAAGGTAGATCTGGCAAATCGGTCTAGAGCTCAATTAAGGCAGGCGATTGCGGATTGTGAGGCAGAACTTGCAGCCATTTGTTCATCAATGGGAGAGAGACCGGTGCATATTCGTCAGGTTAGATATTTTAAGAATATCTATAATTTGTTTGCTGTTGGTTTTAAGGCGTGTTTGTGTATTAGCCGAATGGGGTGGCAAACGTTCTTTACAGCACACAATTTGAAGTGGTAAAATCCACGTTAAAAAAACTGCATCCCTAAGTGAATTACCACCGTATGTATAGCTTAATATGCTAATTATTTGCTATTTTCTTGATTTTTTGCATCAAGATTTTTTGTTTTCCAGTTTGGTAGCTAATTAGATTGTACACTGTCTCTTTCATTTTTCTAGACTGATCAAAATGCTGGAAGCCTAAAGGAAGAGCATGCAAGAATTCTTCCGCAGTTGGAGGAGATGCAAAAAAGGAAATCTGAGCGTAGAAATCAATTCATAGAAGTTCAAGAGCAGATTCAAAGCATTTCAATTGAAATACATGGTCCAAAAAAGTATATTCCCGCTGTCATAGATGAAACTGATTTATCCTTGAGAAAACTTGAAGAATTGCACAGACAGTTACATGCACTTCAGATTGAGAAGGTCAATTATCTGCTTATACTTTAGTTTTTTTGAACTGTTCCATTGTCTCGTATCATCACCTTTTTGTTCCTTCCTTTTCCTACTAATAATTATGCTCGTATATTATCCTCACGCAGAGTAGTCGCTTAAAGCAAGTCCAGGAGCACCTGTATACATTAAATTCTCTTTGTTTGGTGCTCGGTTTGGACTTTAAGCAGACAATTAACGGAATTCATCCCAGCTTAGTGGAATCAGAAGGATCTAAGAGTGTAAGTAATGACACCATTCAGCAACTAGCCGTTGCTATACAAGAGCTACGGGAAGTTAAATTACAGAGAATGCAGAAGGTAAAGATTGATTTAGAAATTAATTGCCAGTTTTATGTAGTATTTTGTGAATTTTGTTGTTTTTCCTTCTAGTTATATTTGTAATAACTTATGGTTTGGTAGCTCCAAGATCTTGCAACGACAATGTTGGAGCTCTGGAACTTGATGGATACCCCTGTCGAAGAGCAACAGATGTTTCAGAATGTTACATGTAATATAGCTGCTTCAGAACCTGAAGTAACTGAACCAAACACCTTGTCTGTGGAGTTCATCAATTTGGTGAGTTATAAGTTGCTTGAGTATAATAGGGATAATGTTTCTTGATTTTTATGGTTCAAAATTAATGGAGAAGTAACACTGTCATCCAGGTTGAGGCGGAAGTAGCTAGGTTAGAAGAGTTAAAATCAAGCAAGATGAAAGAGCTAGTATTAAAGAAGAGAACAGAGCTAGAGGAGATTTGTCGAAAGACTCATTTGATTCCAGAAATAGATAATGCAGTGGAATATGCTGTTGAAGCCATAGAATCTGGTAACTTTCTACTTTCTAGCAAGTTGAGTGCAATTATTCTCTTTGCAACTTAAAAGTATGTCTCTTCCTTTTTGTGCAGGTTCTGTGGACCCTGCTTGTGTACTTGAACAAATTGAACTTCAAATTGCCCAAGTCAAAGAAGAAGCTTTTAGTAGAAAAGAGATACTTGAAAAGGTTGAGAAATGGTTGGCAGCATGCGATGAAGAGTCTTGGCTTGAGGAGTACAACAGGGTTAGTATTTTGTAACCTGCTTCAACATTGCCATTTGACCCACGTTTTAATCATAGCTATATTTAGCAATTTAACTATGTATTTTGTTTTGTTTATCCTCCAGGATGATAATCGATACAATGCTGGGAGAGGTGCTCATCTTACTCTTAAGCGAGCTGAGAAAGCTCGTGCCTTGGTCAACAAAATTCCCGGTATACAATAGTTACCATATTTGTTATTATTTTGTATTTTGTTACATAATGGCTCAATTTATGACAATCGAACTGAATCAAGACCAGATAGTATAGTGTAGTGTAAGTCAGGCTAATTTTGTATGAATCATCATTAAAGTTGCCAATTTGGATGTGAAGGTGATTGCTTGTGAGTTCCCTAAGCAATTATGGAGTAATGAACGCTAGTTTAGTTATTTCTGTGTTGAGATTACTATATTCATATTTCAACTTCATTACTCTACCGTCTGATTTTTCCTGTATTAGTGTTTGTGTATAATTTTAAAATGGTCCCTCTTTTTACGTATAGCAATGGTGGATGGTCTGACTTCAAAAACTATTGCATGGGAGAAGGAAAAAGGCGTTGAGTTCACATATGACGGCGTAAGTTCTCTCTCCAAAAAACTAGTTTCAAAATGGTTTTGTAGAATTATTGCATGGGGAGGGGGAGTGGATTGAATATTAGTTTCATGCAAATCTGCTTCAAAGTGATTCCTCCTGTGTGTGCTTTCTAGATTCGTCTACTTTCTATGCTTGAAGAATACACTATATTACGGCAAGAGAAAGAGCAAGAACGTCGTAGGCAACGGGTAAGGCCTTCTAATTGCATTCCAGATAAATTTTCTAGTCATATAAAACCTTTAATATTGTCCCGATGTGGGTTTTTGGAACCCGAGCAACATGTATTTTACCATGTTTTGTATATCATTTAAGAAATAGGTGTTCTATATTATCAAACAAAACTTGTTAAATTTTTTTTTCAGGACTTGAAGAAACTCCAGGGACAAATGATAGCCGAACAGGAGGCACTATATGGGTCAAAACCAAGCCCTTCAAAGCCACAGAGTGTGAAAAAAGGACCGAGGATGTCAACTGGAGGTGCAACTAGTAGAAGAGTCTCGCTTGGGGGAGCAATGCTTCAAACTCCAAAGCCTGATTCAAAAGCTACTCACTCACGTGCCACGAGAAAGACAGACAAAGCGCACCAAATTGAGCATCTAAATTACCTGGATGATGGCATTTCATGTTTATCGGCAGGTAGTTTCATTAAAATTTACTATTCCTCTCCTTTTTTGGATATATTCTAGAGGGGGATTGGTTACTATCTTGGTTAGAATTCATAGAAAACATAATCAGTTTTCACACTTGTATCCAACTTGTCCCCAAAAACCGGCCACAAAATTGTCCGTCTATTTATTCCTTTGTTTTGGTAGAAAAATGCCCCAACGATTCAGTACACTTCTTGATCTGTTTATGCATTTTTTTTCTTGTTTGATATTGAAGGAGGAAGTCTATATGGCACAGCTTATGTTTACCTTTCAAACTAAGTTGCACAAACATTTTGCATGATGTATTATTATCTATATGCATTCTCATTTCTATTGTAACTCGTGAGCTCGTGTAGAAGTAATTGTCTTTTTTCCTATCTTTGAGCAGCTAGAAGAGGGCTGGATATTGCTGGCGTTCCTGTGAAAAAACACTCGTTTGGTACCGGGACTCAAATTATAGAATCATCTCTGACACGACAACCTTTTTCTCCCATCTCTTCTAACAATGTATCTTCAAAAGCTAATGTCGCAAATGCTACAGATGAGCTAAATAAACAGGGTGGTGAGAAGTTGCAGAGAACATTGTCGCTTAACAATGTGCCATTCACTACTCCCTCCAAGACAATTACTGTGGTAGATGACGAGAATAGAACTCCAAAGACAATGCCTATTCCTTTCCCAGCTACCCCATCGACGGTTTCAGTTCCAATGAATATGGCCATGACTCCAGTTCCTTCATCTATTATGAAGAATATAAACTTGAATTCAACTCTCTCCACATCAGTTCCTTACGGAAATGACTTGGTTCAAGAGATTGAATATTCCTTTGAGGAAAAAAGGCTCGCTTATATGATGTTGGCATGATTTTTTTCTTAGGTGTTTCATTTTACTTCCTGTGATGGATTAATCATAAGTCAATTGTAATTGGCTTCCTGATTGTGGTGTACATTTGGAGAAGTGGAACAGACGTACTAATTTGAGATTTTTGCGGTCTAATGTCATTTAGTTTTCTTCATTTCTAAGATTGTTTCATTTAAAAATCCACTTTCATGGAGATGGATTATTATTAATATTTTGAATTCAAAATATTTCATCATGAGATTTAGCATTTACTTGCCTTTTCGTAATTCTCTTCCGGTGATTAAAATTTCAATGACAAGTCATAACGCTGTTTGGCAAGATGTGTCCCGTTCAAGTTAACTTGTATCATATCATTCTCTTGCCTTTTCTTTTTGTCTTGCCACTTTCTCGACTTGTATCATCAAAATTATTTGTATTATTGACTTCAATCAATGCTGATGATAATGCCATCGCCAACATATTCATTTTTCAGGGGCTCTTCATTTGTGGCCTTGAAAGCTACATTTATCAAAGTGGATTACATTTGACAGCTCCTTGAAATTATTGAAAAGAAAATATGTGTGGACATAAATAAAATCGGAGAGATTTTTGGTCATTTGCACACATAATAATATTTGTCAATGAATTTGGATAGAAATACTTCAATAGAATATCATTTGAATTTTCAAAAATAAAAACTTGCAATTATTATTCTTGGTGAGCATGTTCTTGCTAGCACATCGTGGAAAAAGGAGTTCTCTTAAATGAAAGTCAATAATATTCTATTATTATTATTATTATTAATTTCAATTACTAATTTAAATCTATAATTATAGTCACTACAACTTTGATTAATTTTAAACATGAATTTTCATATAATTTCCTTTTGATGTAAAAATAACAATTTTCTAATCACATTTGACCAAAAATATTAATAATTAGGAATGGATTTAAATATGTTTCACTTCTCATACCTTATGTTGCCGATGAAATAGGTTGGATTAAAGGGAAAAGGTCTCCACTCTCTGTTCTCCTCTCACAGTAGTTTCTCACCAGATTTGGGAGAAATTTGAAGATTCTATATGTTCAATGGACATTTGATTTTTGTCGAGTGCATGCAGACGTAGCTACGATTAGTTGTTTGGCCAAGAAAATTCCATTTGTGGATTGTTTGTCTTCTGTTTTTCATTATAAAAGAATACTAATTCGGATTAAGCTAAAAGTGAAACATTGTTTTTGTCATAACTAACAAATCTTCTGTTAATTATATGTACCATATCTTTATATTTAAAGTTAAAATTAATTTTATTAACATGCTTTTAATTATAAAAATACAATTTTTTATTTTTTATTTTAAATTTGTTTAAAACCGACCAAAATAGTTAATTGGTTTAATACAGGATTAAAAAAACAGAGAGATGAATTTAAAGTATTTTAATTTTAAACATTAATATCACCAAACATAAATCAAACTATAAAATATTATTCTAATTTATTTGATATTTTTTAGTGTGAAATTATTTATAGAGAAAGAAATCCGTAATCTTTTTAAAATTAATTACAAATACTTAATTTGAGTTTAGACTATGAGAAACCTTTTAAATTTTATTTACAAAGTGTTTATTTATTACTAATTATATTTAACATAAAACGCCTTAATTCATAAATCGCTTCACTGTATCATAAAACAAGTTTTCATACTCAAATTACTTAAAGAAAAAAAAAGTAATCATTTGTTGTGAAGGAGAAAACAGACAAGGAAATGCAAATAAAAAATCTTGATATAATTAATTATGTTATATAATTTTAAAATAATTTTATTCATTTCATTATAAAAATATTTTTTATCTAATCAATACAATTTTTTATTTATCTTTTTTTTCTCTTTTAGTTATTTTCCTATTTTTTATATTTCAACCTCCAAACAGAATGGATTCGCTGTAAATGATTTTGTTTATTTATTAACTGGCTTAAAAAAGAGTATAAGCTCTTTCCAACATCAAAAGTGTATAGTAAAAATAATAAAACATAATAAATTTTTAAAAATATGAAGATAATTCAATATTATTTGTAAAAATAATTTTTTTACTATAATTATATATTTTAATTTGAATAGATTTTTAATCAATTAATAGATTCTCATGATAAATGCTAATATTTTTCAAAAACATAAAAAACAAAAAAAATTGTAAGAGAACTTCCACATAAAAAAAATAAATTTTAGAGTTTATTTTTTTATAGAGGAAAAACAATGTTTATACGTCAAAATCATTTTCTTTAATAGTGCCTAAGTAGAGAAATTATTGTGTATAAATTTTATATGTATATATAACAATCTTACCTTCTTAACTTCATAAAAATATTAATTCCGGTTTTCAAAATTTTTAATGAGTTTTAAAAGAAATTTTCAAATGTTCAAAAGTATTTTTTTTATTATTATTATTATGTATGTACAGAAACTGAAAAAAAAAGTTTGAAAAAAAAAGTCACTGTCCACATTCAAATAAGAAGAAAAACATTTTAAATTAATTACTTATATTATATAAGAAATAATATTTAAAGAAGTAAATTTGATAATTTTGACACGAATTCACTATTTCTTACAGCGAATAATTTGTTGAAGGTATGAGATCCAGCTTCCACATATGCCATGGATTTTTGTTTCTTTTACCGTAGAAGAGAATCTTGGTCCAGAAAAATGGGTTTGAGAAAGTGTTTAACAAGAGGAAGAAAGAGTCACAGGGTGTGTGACTTACTTAATCATGTGGGTTCCACACAACTCGTGAGGCTTTCTCTCTGGAGAGATCCTGGTCCTGAAAAAATGGGTCATAGCTGCCTACTTTACCGGTGACTGCCAGAGTTTGAAAAAACCTGACGTACTGTAACGGGTCCATCATGATCATATCAGTACAGTACTCTTCCATTACTGGATAGGTACAGTACCTACCCAGAAACAAAGCTTGCACATTTTCACCATCATAATAAATTTCAACAAAACTTTCTGTCAAACATTAACTCACATTATATTGTCTCTCTTTTTATTCTATTTTTGCTGAGGAAGAGGGAGAAAGTGGAAATTATGAAACAGTGATTTTGGTCTACAGAAGATGCTGTAAATGAGGAGAAGAAAGCGGAAAAAAGAAGCAGCAGAGGGCATGCGTTGCGTTTATTACAGTGGCATTTGCAGTAGATTCACGCAACCAAGAGGGCATTTCAAAGTTTAATTTTTTTTTTTTTTCTTTCAAGTTCATGAATTTGAGTTTCTTGGTCAACTTTAAGTTAATTTAACTGAAAAGACAAAGAACTTGTCAGTAGTTGGGAAAATGTAATGGCTCCTATCTTAGCTTTACAGCTTTGAATATTTATTTTTTAAGAAAAGCTTTAAATAAATAAATGCCTGTTTTATATAAAAAAAGCCAATTTCTTTCCTTTTCAAAAATGTTGCATGAATTTTTTAATGCATTCAAATTAAGTATCTGCATTCACAGTCATTTATTAAATCACCTTTATTAAATTTCCAAGACGGACGTGAACCAATTTCTTAACCAAATTTTATACTTTCAATTTTATAATTAAAATATTAATTCATAATTAAATTCCCAATATTTAATTACTTTATTTTAACATTTATTTAATTTTTCAATTTTTTTATCAACTTTATTTATTTACTCCACCTTTTCCTGGAAAACCCTAAATTCACATACCACTCTGAAGAATTTATGAACCGGACTTTGTATTTTTCTCTGTAATTCTATAATTTTTTTTCTCAAAATTTTTGTTAATTTCGAAGCTTTCTGTGTTTTCTGTAATGGTGCAGATTTGAGCTTACAGCACTGCGATTTTCTCGGAGGCTAAGCTCAAACTGCTCCAATTTAGTTTTTGGGTTTCTTTTCGCCATTTCATACAATTTTTTTGTGTGCCTAGAAGTTTCCTGTGAGATTGTAAATTTTCCCTGCACCCAAATCTGTTTTCTGTTAAATAAAATTAGCATTTACCCCTTTGAAAATTTCAATTTTTTTTTTTGTGAATTTCTTGGGTGATTAGGGTGGAAGAGTTTGAATCTTCAATGGGTAGGGTTTAAGTAAAGTTTTAAGGTTTTGGGGTGCTTAGCTTTTCCTTGATTTGCATAAAAATGGAGGGGAGAGAGAGTTTTGGTGTTGTGGTGGGTGATGAAGCTCCAGAGAGCTTCCATGTGGCTCCTAGAATAATTGAGAACAATTTGGATTTTTCAAGAGCCGCCATGCCGGTGCCGTCGCCGGTGACGGAGGGTAAAAAGAAGAGAGGGAGGCCGAGGAAGTATGGGCCGGACGGGAAGGTGGCGTTGGGGGCGGTTACGGCTTTATCGCCGATGCCTATTTCATCGTCGATTCCGTTGACCGGCGAGTTTTCCGCTTGGAAGCGAGGTAGAGGAAGGCCTGTTGAATCTATTAAAAAGTCATCGTTCAAGTTTGAGGTTGAAAGCCCTGGACCAGGTATTATATAGTTCTTTGATCTTTTCAATTGAATTGTAGCCTTTTAATCTATAGTCACCGCTGATGTTTTTAACCTTTTTCCTAAGGTTTTATTTTTAGTTTTTTTACTGTTCCATTTGCATTTTATTGAGATATAAGACTAGGAGAGTGATAATAAACGAGTGAATCCTTCTAACCTGGTGGCTCTTGTCATTTAGCTCTTTAATGGAAGAGAATCATAATGTTTTGTTTTTTTGGGGGTTCTAATCGATTTGATTTTGGGGTAAATAATTTGGATCACTTAGTTATTTACTTTGATCTTGTGTTTTAGCGTGCAGTGAACTTTTTGGACTTGGTTTTTGCTTTTGTGAGAGAGTTTATATAGGGGGTGAGGTGGGGTGTGAGTGGACCCTAACCTCTGATTCCTTTTCAGATCTGGATACAAGTTGTGAGGTGGATGGGGATATTTTGTGGTTGAGAGTGAGGTTGGTTTTTGTTTCAGGGTAGCATATGGTACTATTTATTTTCCTTTGTGAGGGGAAGAGGGTTGAATTATCTGACCATGGAAAAACAGTTAGAGTAAATGAAGGGACCAGCTTATTTAGTAGGTTGAGTCCAACAGTTGTTATTAGCTGATGTGCCACACTTGAACTGGTCTAAAGTCTACTCTAATAATTGTTTTTAGCAGCTTCTAAACTTCCTCGTTGAATATTGGCATGATTGGAAAATGGATTTCGTAATTGGAATTTTGGTCGGAAATATTTTTGAAAAGTGGAAATCATTCATTAAGGGACGCGAGAGTGGATTCTGAGACTGGTAGTATCCATTTATGTAACATTAATATGGAATGAAATGATTTTCACAGTTCATGCAGGAGATTTGTGTCTCCTATGTTTGGACGGAGGAGGATTATTGAAGATTTTTTAGGTGGACCTCATGCGTTGAAGTTTTTATAAAAAGAAAGGAAATATGGGCTCTTCATTAGATCATTATTAATTCTCCTTTCATTTTTTTGAACAATAAAAAATGTTCTTCCAATTTTGGGTGATTTTAAACGTTGAAATAAACGTAAAGAAATAAATCATACCTCTTTCTCTTCCTTTTTTTTTTCATGTCTTTTGTGACACCCAAACATACCCCTATGTGCTGTATATAGTTCCACATCATGACAAGGGGACATGTGAACACTGAATTGTTTTGTTCAAGATGTTAGACATGCTTATGCTGCATGTAGCTTGGTGATGAACATGACTTCCATATCATTCCCGATGATTCATCATTACCCTGAATCTACTGTCACCAGTTAAGTCTATAAAACATCTGTCCTTCTATGTGTTGCTGAAATTCTAAACCTGCTGGCTAGGCTAGGCCATAATATGGTAGATACTAGAAGCCACATCTATCCATTCCCCACACAGGATACCCTATAACCGTGGTTCTAACCATGGAATTCTGCCTCACCTATGAAGTCCATTATGTCATATTCTAGACATCCTACCGAACCTTCAAAGAGAATCAGAGTCAGAGTAGATTCAGGGTGATGATGAATCTGAATTTAGTGTTATAATAGGGTACATCATGTGGCTAACTATCTGTTGTGTAATATTTTGATGCGTGTGGTTCACTTGGCTGTCTATTTAATGGATGAAAGAGGTAGATGTAAGATATATACGTGGCTTGTTGAATGCATCTTCTATTTCTGGCTAAAGTGTATCAACATAATTTATTCCCCCAAAATTTTCTTGTAATTTTGAAACTCATTTCTTTAATTTCATGAATTACTCTATATGAACTATTGATTATTGCAATTTCTTTCTTTCTTTTGAAGTATAAAGAACATTCCTTTCTGGACTACTTTAATACAGTTTTCTATTTCGGGTCTCTCTCCTTCTATTCATCTTCCCATGTATGCATTTTTTAGGTGATGGAATAGCATACTCAGTTGGTGCCAATTTCACACCACATGTGCTCACAGTAAATGCTGGCGAGGTATTCTGCTTATTTCCATTTAGGTCTTTATTCTGAAGTTTAATAAGATTATAGTTCTATTCCAGTCAATTTGTGTATGAATGCAATATATACATTGGGAATGCAAAGACCATTTATTTTGATTACACTTTAATATCTTTTTTTTTTCCAAGAAAACATTTTTTTTTATGAAAAGAGGAAAAATATGAAATTATCTAAAAAATGTTAATATGTTCCTTTCTGTATGTTCATTGTTCAAACTCCATATCCGTTTCTGTACTTTATGTGTTCATTGTTCATTCTCTTAATAGTGTTTATTTTTTGTACTTTACGTTTAATATCCAATAATATTTATTCCTTATGATCATTTGTCTGTTTATTATTAATTTCAAGGAATTAGGATATCAATTAGAATAATTTATTTTCAGTGATGATTGTCCGTTAGAGAATTGGTTAAACATTTTAAGATAAACAGTGCCCCCTACTTGCAAGATGGTGAGCTTCATTCGATTGAAGAACTTGTGGAAAAATAAATGAAATAAGTTATGGATTTTTTTCATTTCTTATGATCTCTAGTTTGTCCATAAATTATGAATAGAACTATAAGGATGTTAACTTTATTATAATGTTATTATCGTAGTTTTTTTTTTTTTTTTTCAAATCTGCAACAATGATATGACTGATTTGTGTATGGGAAATCTTATGTGGTGGTGGACAGTGTCATTATTATTGAAGTTAACTATTATTATTGCTTACATGTTTATAATTTGGTTACTCGTGTGCAGTATGCTAACTTGTCTTATGTGATTTTCTTATGGTCCCGTATCAGGATGTCACAATGAAAATTATGTCCTTCTCACAACAAGGATCACGCGCTATATGCATTCTCTCTGCAACTGGGACAATTTCAAATGTTACACTTCGTCAACCATCTTCTTGTGGGGGTACTTTAACATATGAGGTGAGTTGCACCTTATATCATCAACACAACAAGAAAATAAGTTATTTTTGGTAGAATGGTCAATTTAGTCTTTTAATGTGTATGGAAATTTCAATTTAGTCCTAAAATTTAAATAAAGCCCTGGAAAGTAACATCTATCTCTCATAATCCTTTTTTATTTTAAGTCTTTTCATGTTAACATTAAAACTTTAATTTTGTCCATATATGTAAGGACTAAATTGCATTATTCTAATAGTATGTAGTCAAGTTTGAAACAAAAGACGAATGTGATAAATATAAGTTACTTTCAAGGATTATTTATTTATTAACATTCAATGACTAAATAGAAAAAAAAAATATACTTTAAAAGGACCAAACAAATCATTCAGTCTTTGACTGCATAATATGAACAGTAGTTACCACTGCAAGTGTTTTGTGTGCAGTTAGATAATATTAAGTGGAAATGGATGGATCAAATGCAGATTTTTAAAATTTTAACAAAAATAAATTGCAGAATCAGGGCTGTGCTGGCTAAACATTTTCATTATATCTGATTTTGACTAGTGGACAAGGATAACGGCCTTTATTATTTGATTAAACTTCTTGTGCAAAATTATCTGTAACTGATGTTATTAGTTTCATTACACTTACGTATGGTACAAGATAAGTTTTTTCATGTTTGGGAATCATTAATCTTGTGATCATGATTCCTAAGAATCACTAATATCTGTTTGGTTAGTACAAATATTCCTAGAAATTAAAGAGTTAAAGTGACTTTTTCCAGAAATAATCATTTACCATATAAATTATTTAATAAGAGTAACATTGTATTTTTATCGTAATACTTTTTTTAATTCATGAATGTTACATTCACACTTCCCCCTTAGAACATTTTTTTGGTAAACTTAACTAAACAGCATTGCTCAGAAACATTGTTTTTACCTTGTATTTCAACTAATCAGTTGCTATGATAATCTTATTAACTAACTTTGAAGACAAGGTTATTGTAATTTGTTACTCTTCTAGCTTCTTACCTACAAATTCTAGATTTTTGATGCTGTCTTCTTTTTATTTATATTCATGATTTCTCCTAATTTATTTGTTTGAATTACCTTCACAGGATAACACAATATCTCTGAAGAGTTTGTATTTAACTGAATCAAATGGTGTCATGTGATTCATGTAACTGATCTCTCCTAGTGGGATAGGACTTCTGTTTTCGCCGTTACTATCATAGCTCAACACTATTCATGTAGTGTTCTGTATATGTTAGTTAAAGACTGTGGATGAATCTTCTTGTAATGTATTTGTTTTTTGCGTCCACTTGTCACAGACATTCACCTTATTCAATCCACCAAGACATGCTAACTTACAACCAAAAACTATTAGTTCAAGTTTCCATTCTGGTCACATCTCGGAAACCACTTTGGACCACTTTTTCTTGTTTAGAAAACTAATGTCTCTTTGCATGTTGTACTTGTTATGGGGATTAATTATATGGTTACATTGCTTTTTGATTAACTAATTTCCTCAACAAAGATAACTCATCCTTTGCGATTTATTTACTAACATACTGATGTATATCTTCCAATTTTGTTTATGTCCGAAGTGAATTGATTAAATATGCTCTAACTTAAATTTTTTATTTTACAGGGACGGTTTGAAATTCTTTCCTTGTCTGGTTCCTTTATGCCAACTGACAATGGAGTTACTAGAAGCAGATCTGGTGGAATGAGTGTCTCTTTGGCCGGTCCAGATGGTAGAGTAATGGGGGGTGGACTTGCTGGTTTGTTGGTAGCTGCTGGCCCTGTTCAGGTAGACCTCATGCTATATAGGAAGGGGATATTTAATAAAATATTCAAGAACCTTCTTAAATTGTTAATCTGAGATTTTATAACCTCAACCTTTCTAAGGAAATATGATAATATTAATTCAGTGCGGATACTGGATGTTCAAATTATTCCCATCATGATGAAGCAAGTTTTAATTTGTTTTATTGGTTAGATGAGCAATGCTTTTGGATAGAGATTTTCTTGACTTGTTTTTATGCTATGTCAGTTTCCCCAGAAAAGTAGGAATAGAAACAAAAAGATGGTGTGAACGAAAGATATATGTGTATGATGGCCATATTTCAGTAGTCGCTTTTCTCATTCTTTTCTGGATCAGGTTGTGGTGGGCAGTTTTCTTCCTGGTCACCAGTTGGAGCAAAAAAATAAGAAGCAAAGGGCGGAGCAGATATCAACTATTACCACTTCACCTGTTACTCTCATCTCTAGTGAGGAACTAAAAGTCAGTTTTGGTGGAGTAAAGCCTATTATGACACCTGCAGCTTTTCAAGAAGAGAATATTGTTTCTTTTAACAATGGTCAAGACTCTAGGAACTCATCTCCTGATGACAAAGATCCTATACCTGAAAAGGAGTCTAATTTAAGCCAATCAAACGCTGAGGCTGCATGCTAAACATATTCCCTGTGAATTATTGATATCATGCAGAGTCAACCTCATATAGGCTCCTCACTCATGCTTGACTGACAGCTGACAATTAACTTAAAAAGACAACAACTCTGATGGTCAGATGGGTGTCACACAATGGTTTTGACGCAAGTTGCACTATTTGGTAATAGGTGTTAGTTGGCAAATCTGTTTGTTAGGTTTCCACGTGTCATTTCTCCAAATGTATCTTTAGTATTGTTTACTCATTGGTGTAGCAATTAGATATAGTGGTATATGTTGTTGTGCCATTTCCCCTCTTATTTATATTCTCTATATGGATGTTAAAAATGTGAGTGGATGCGAGTGTTTCTGAACTGTAACTCTATTATTTGTTGTGAAAGAAATTGCATATCAGCCTCCTTGGCTTACCTTTTGGTACTCTGATTCTTTGCTCAAAATTATTATATCAAGGAACGGCCAAACGGGAACTAATAAATATCTCCAATTATTTGGAATTAATTTTTGTTTAAATGAATTATTTGCCATATATCTGTAATTTGATCAAGTATGAGATTATGATTATTTTTTTTTTCAAATTTTATCGTGTCATACAACTGGCTCAATATCCAAATAACAAAGTCTACTAATTATTTTGCCTTAATAACGACTATAATACAGCCTCAAATACATCAGCTTCCAGACTAACTTCTAGATCAATCCATTTAAAATTATATTTAGTCAAACATGAATTGTATCTAAAGTATGATTAGTTTGTCCGAAACATGCATAAAAATTTGCACTATAATAGGTGCAACAATTTGGCTATTCTTGATACTCTTCATCTTTCAATCTGTTTTTATCTTTTAGCACCCAACACCAAGAAAGTAGACTATATAACCCTTTTTGGCTTGGAGCATGAAGTATGAGTGGAAAAAGGAAAGGAGTGTCGTGGAATAAAATTTGAAAGTAAGATTAAAAAGGAGTTTCCACGTACGATGCTTCGTGGCATGCTTCTCATAGGCATTTTTTTTCCTTTCCTTCTACATGTGACTGAATAAGCTTCTGAACCAAAATATCTATTTATTCTTTTCTTGGTGTTCTTCACTCACTCCTTTTGTACCCTTAACAAAGATTTTAATTTTCATGCATTCTTAGAATAAAAAACAATTATATTGTCAATTAATTAGATGATAGTATAAAAATCACCACATTTCTAAAAAAAATATTTATTCTTTGCCAAATCACTTTTTATTTTATTTTATTTTGCAGGGTATTTCAAAAACAAAGTAAGAGCAGTTTTGGGTCAGAAAACTTCAATGGTACTACAAAACAAAACAAAAAATACTCATTTCACTTCAAATGTTTCAAGAATGAGGGAACTAACCAAACAAACTGACACATATCAAAACTCTCACTCCAAAAGTTCCTTATTATTATTCTCACCCCATAGCAAACTTGATTAGCTCAAATATTCTGCTTTCCACCCTTCATTAACCCTTTCTATAAACTCTTCCACTCTTCTCCTCAGCTCATCATCTTCGTCAGTACTGTTGCAATTGCAGTTATAACTACCTTCAGTTTCAGCTCTGTCCACCACCACTTCTTCCTTGATATGTCCCACTTCTGTTGATTGTGGAGATACTGTGCTTTTGCTGACTAAACACTTGGATTTTGCGCCATGTATACCCGTGTTTGTGGGCATGGACAGAGAGATTTCTTCACTCCCTCGATCAAACCCGAGCTTGGGCTTCATGTCCACTAGAATAATGACTATGATCAAATTGCAGAAGCAGAAAATGAAAGCATAGCTGGAAGCTGCCTGAGTGATGTACTCCACCACAGAATCCAACATGGCCAAGTAAGGAGGGGCAAACACGGATGAGAAAGAAAGAGACGGTGGTTGTTTTTGTTGTTGGCTTGAGTTAGAGGCAGGTTTAGGTCTCAAGGTCTATTTAAAGTGGTGTTTGGATAGATGCAAACGTGGACAGAACCCTCTTTTTCATGACAATATTTAAGGAGGTAATGCTGATGGGTGAATGGTACCAGAAAAGCACAGGACAATATACTTTTGTGTGAGGGTTGATGATGTATAAATATATGTGGGATGTTTCATCCAACTGTACGTGGGGCTTTTATTCCAATAAACTAATAATCAAAAAGCCTATTGTAGCAGTGGAGAGCCTCACATGCCACTTTCTTAATTGGTCACAGCCACAGTGTTCTATGTCATCAACTTAGACATAAGACATCACCCACCAAACTTTTATGCAGCATTTATTTTTCTCTCTCTGGATCCTTACTCTGATTGGCTAATTAGTCTTTTTTTCCTTAAAGATTATCGGTAGTTCTGATTAAAATAATACTACATTGATTTCCACTTTCTGGGGTTGTTGAAGATCTTGAAAATTTGGACCATGCCCCACTGAAAACGACCGAGGACCTAAGTAACTAATCCATTTGGCAGTTGGCAAATTGTTTTGTCTTGTTCTGTGTGCTTGAAAATGCTACAACCGATGTTCACATATAGCTTGTCTATTATTGGTGTTCACGCAGTGTCTTTATATGCATTGAAGATGTGAAAGAAAAAAAACTACGTAGTGAAGTTAACTTCACTAAGAAAACAAAAAGCAGATGGAGATGATAAAAGAAACAGTCCTTTTGTCATTGAGGATGAATGTGTGAGAATTTAGGAATAAATTTTCTCCTTTGTCTCACGAGTCATTTTCATCTTATCACCGAAAAAGTGCACACAATCACTCTTTTTACTTTTCCTTCTTTTACTCGATAAATACCTTTAATTTTGAATTCATCTTAATTAGTCTTTTTGCTGAAGTATATTTCTAAGTTATGAAATCATCGAAGTTTAAGAAAGCATTTATAAATAAACATATATTCGTTTTATACTTGAAGAGGGTTGAATACAAAGAAGGGTGGCTCGACGGCGCTCAGGTAAGGCATATTCTCCACGTAGATGGGTCATAGGTGAGCTTGAGCCTTCGTTCAGTTCCATGACGTACCTGAGAAACATGGAATTATTCTCCAACATGCCCAAGTGTGGGAGGGGTGCCAATAGATATGTTAGTCTTTTGGAAACTTACCAATATTATCTATCGCAGTATAGTATTTCAATTAAATAAAAGTCGATCACATGAGAAATGGTTTCACTGAAAATTCCAAATCATAGGCTTCTTAAGTGGATTAACACAAAAATGATTTTTCATAAAGATTTGGGTTGAAAATAAATGACAAAGAACTATAAAGTACTTTTAGAAAAGATCATATAAAAGAATTAAAAATTGGCTTAATTCCTTTTTTCTCTTTTGTATAATGATTAGGTCAAATTAAGAACATCAATTAACTATCAAAGTTGATGTCACCAACTTAAATCATTCATATTGATTCCTTACGCATGAAATTCATAAGAAAACCTTGTAAACATAGATTCCTCATACATTTAGTAGATTTTCCATTAGGTTTAGGGTGTTAAGCAATTAACAAACATTTTTACCTTGATCTAGGGTCTCAAGATATATTTTCCAATATATATGAATATCAAGGATAAAATCATTAAAAGACACAAAAAGATAAGAATGTCAACATAAAAATATAGATTAATATCTCAATATATCACCAAGATACCAAAAAAGTTCAAAGGAAATGCACTTAATCCTAAGAGAATGAAATTAGTCACTCATGATAATCATTATAATGATCCAAAATGAAGAAGAATTGAAGATTTGACGAAAACTTAAGCAGTTGTCGCGCCTCTCTTCTCAAAACCCCCAACTCCTCTTTTTCTCAAAACATATCTTATTTTTTTATAAAAAAATTTGCATCATTCGCTTAAGCGAGTAATGATGATTTCCGCTCAAGCAAGAATTATTCGCTTGAGCGATTGAATTCTCGAGAGTTTTAACGTATTTTCGCTTAAGCAAGCGTCTGTCTTGCTTGAACGAATCTTAGGTAGAAAATCTTCTTTCCTTTTTTTCCAATTTTTTTTCAATTAACTTGAGAATTATAATCCTTGCTTTTATACCTAAGTATTATGCAAATTCATCCTAATTAAAATCAACATATTTAAGTGGTTAAATGACAATTCAAAACATAATTACGTCAACTTTTGTCCTTTAACAATATAAAAATATATTTAAGTAACTTTGGGAAAGACAAAAAAAATTATAACTTCAAGGTTTTTGCAGGGCAGTTAAAAAAAACCAGTGTTGGGTCAATCTTATTTTGATTATATGGTAAAGTAAAAATGAGTTATAATTTTAAGTTTAATTGAGTTTCTATCTTAGATTAAGGAATTAATAAATTAATTTTGATTTGATTAAGTTTTTAAAAAAATAACATATTTATAATAAACAATTAATTAAAAATATTTAAATAAAAATATTTATAAAATTTAAATTATATAAATAAAATTAATTTTATTAAAATATAATAATTTAATATATAAATTTTAAAAAATTAGATTCATTTAATAAAAAAATAATAATTAAAAATTTACTTTTTATTATTATTGTTATTTTTTTAATAATTTATTGATTTGAAATAATAATTAATTATAACATTATATCTTAAATTAAATTGTTATTAATAATTTATTTTAATATTTATTTTTGAGATAAATAAATGTTTTATCAAATTAATTTATAATACATATGGTTAAATAAAATAATATTATTTTTATTTTTTAAATTAATTATTATTTTATAAAATAAACCTATCAATAAATTTATAAATTAATCTATTCTTAAACTCATAAATGAATCCACAATAAATCTAATTAAATTTAAAATTAATAATTATTTTGACTTAATTTATTATATTTTTCGTACTTTTTGTTTTGGATATATTAGACTAAATTTATTATAATACCCTTAAATTTCGGATTATTACGAACGAAACTAAAATATCATGCCGAGTAAATATGAAAAACTAAATAACTTAAATACATAAAATTACAGTAAAATTTTGATTAAAAATAAAGTTATATTTTATATGAAGGTTGTCTTATTATGTCATGTATAAACACCATCCATCGCAAAGTATAAGTTTGAAATGAGAATTGTGAGAGTAATTTATTTGTATAAAAATTTGAAATATTTGACTGTAAAAGAAAGAAAGTTAAAAAAAAAATGAAATTATAAGAATAAAAAAAAAAAAAAGGAATTTGAAATTGTGCGACAACTAAAGGACTCTGTAGTGATGTCTCAAAACAACGTATTATGTGTAGGAGAGGAGCTACAAAAGAGAACATCACTGGAAAGTGGGATAGGAATAGGAATCAACAAACACACTTTTTATAGTTACGCAAATCTCTACTTTGATAGATGGGTAGAAGTCAAGAAGTTATTAATTTTTTAATGAGTCAATTAATTATTAAATTAAAAATAAGTTTGCAAGTGATACAAAAAAAAATATATTAAAAAAAATAAGTAAGTTGTAATGTATTGAGATTTAAAGGGTACAACAGTTTGATCTGTACACCAAAAGTGGAGTGATCAATGGTAACAGTTTCAATGGGAATTGTATCTCCAACTCAAGTTTACTTTGTCCCTCATTATCCTCCATCAATCTCCTCATATCTCTCTGCTTCTTCCCTTACAATCTCTGCCAAGGCTAGGTCCATCCATCAATCCACAGTTTCAATAGGTAGTAACACTGCCCCGAAAACAATGTTATCATCAATTTTTCCATTTTGAATAAGATTTTTTTTTTTTTAAAAAGAGAGAGGAAAAGTTAGCTATGCCTAAGGTTAGTTATGTGCCTAAATAAGGACAGCATGTTGTGTATATAAGAAATGTTAACAACTGACAAAATATGCATGTGTTTGTTTGTTGTCGTACATGAATCGTGGTGGGACTAGTTGGAGTTCCTCTGTTCTTCACAGTTGATCTTTCTCACTTGTACTACTAATTGTGACTCACATAATTCAGAGGTAGCAATGGGGAGTTTATCGCAGTTGGTCCCGTTCCCATTGTTGAGGACTGAAAAATACACAGCAGGCACCATTCCTTGGAGGTTCCCTTCCGACGATCCGCACGTTCCCACTCCCACCGAGATATCTTGGATTAATCTCCTCCTCAGAACTATCCCCACCTTCAAGTATGTTATCTCTCTCTTTTTCTTCCATAAAACAAAAAAGGGGCTGTGCCTCAAATTTCTTCATTCCCTACTTTATCTTTTAAAAAAAGGAAATTTCCACCAACAAAATGGGGTTCGGATTAAATTTTTTATTTTCATAAAGATACACAATTTTAGATGTAGTTCACGATTCGTTTTTTCTAATCCATATCTTGCATGCCCTTTAGTTGTACAAGTGGTACACTGACCCCAAATATCGTTGTTCTTGGACCTTAGGAATTAGGATTAACCTCCTTCTCAATAGAAACAAGCGTCTACTGAGTACTGGCTCAGTGAATGGTTGGTAAACATTTACTAATAGTATCACAGTCATCGGTATTGAAAAACGGGCCTTCAAAATGAAAGATAAAGTTTCCAAAATGAATATCAGTTGATGAATTCTGATTTTCTCTATATTTGTGGTCCCTTATCTACCAACTTTGTATCTTTGGACTAATTGGCTATTGGTATGTCCAACAACCTGATGGGCTTTAGCATTATTCATCATGCTTCAATTCGAATAACCAACAGTCTGATAGTGTTTTTTAACCTAATCTTGCTAGCACAGTGTAGTTGCTGCTTCTCATTAGTAATTACCGTAAACAGAGAAGCAGCTGGTTAAAAGCAATATTAATGCAACCATTACCTGGTTTGGTGAAGTGTGATTGTTATATTATTGCAGGGTTTCTATTATTGCAACTTTCTTTATTACATAAAGTTTTACCTTTGATTTGATTCAGGAAACATGCTGAGGGTGATACTTCTGTTCCTGATGCTGCAAATAAAGCTGAAACTTTTGCTCAAAGGTGTGTCTCTTAGCTTTGAGAGGTTTGTTGCATGCAAGGACCTATATATATATATATATTAATAACCACATTAGACAGGGATAACGTTTCTTGAGAATCTAAAGCTTTTACTGTTTTTTTTTTTCACCTCTTTTTATGTTTGTGTAATTCTTAGTTCAAGTAATTCAAATTAATACGGGAGTTGTTAATAGCAATTAATGTTGTTGCATCTTTTGCTGATACATTTCCTGCAAAAAGGTATGCTAGAATACTTGAAGATTACAAGAAAGATCCTGCAGGTCAAGACGAGCCTCTTGATATCTTTGTATGTTCTTTAGCTATATACAAATTTTGTTTACTATGTTGATCTAATAATAAAGTAAAATGCAGCAGTTTTAGTACTTATCTAATTTCTCCCGTCTTCATTTTCCTTCATCTCTCTTTTTCTTGGGAGTGGTTGTTCTAGACTCTATGCAGGATTCGTGAGCAAATCCTCAGAGAACTGGGATTCACAGATATCTTCAAGAACATAAAGGTAAGAATAAGTGTGCAATATGCGATTCTGCGTGCTAAAAGCTAATACTATTAAGCTAAAATGTAGAAAAAAAGAGTATATCTGAGTATTGGGGGTTGAAATAATTTAACATCCCATGTAAGAATACAGTGAAATTTAATGGCATTCTTCTCTTAACGTTGTTAGCTATAGGCCTAGTTTCTATTAACCAATTTTGAAGAAACTTAATATCATTAGTCTTCAATAGGAGGAGGAATGGTCTTGTGAGCTGTGACTCTCAGTGAACCATGTTGTTTTAATTTGCGCAAGATTTGTAATTCCTCTCTGATTGAATGCAACAGGATGTAGAAAATACAAATGCCATGTCCCTATTTGAGAATGTTGTTCGTCTTAATGATGCCATTGAAGATGAAGAGAAACGTTTAGAGAATTTAATTAGAGGAATTTTTGCAGGGAATATATTTGATCTTGGTGCTTCACAGGTACGTTGATTTTCTCTGTGTAATTTTGGTCACTTTGGGACTCATGATTCTTAGTCCCTAAATCTCAGAATAGATCAGTTAAGAAAATAACCAAACTCCAGAGTCCATTTCATGCTCAAGGAACAGTAGCTATAAAATCACGTATCAGTAACATTCTAACGCAATTACATTTAAAGACTCTTAAGCTGAATGAAGTCGAGAGGGAAGCAGAAAAATCAGAGAGAAGGAGGAAAAAATCCAGGGAGGGAAAGGGGATGAGTTCTCACTTCTCAGCACTTTCTCACTTGGTTCTTTTCCCCTTCTGCCAGTGCCTTAAATCCTTTGGTTAAATAGTTTCCTTCTGATGCTTCAAGTTGTAGCAAGCTTATATGTGTCAACAACTCTTACCTCACTTTCCGCAACTGAATCTCTCATTCAACCTCTGACTTGGAATCTGATTCAGGTTCACTCAGTAGATGTCAATAACTAAAACCATGAGTCATGGAACAACCTGGAGTGGCTTACTTGTTCATGCAAACATTGGTTCTAGTTGCTTATTTCTCCTTGTTACTGTACCAACCGTTTATTTGTTCCCATTTTCTGGTTTGGTTTAGTTACTCTTCAATAATGTAGTTCACATGCTGTGGATACCGTCAATTGACACTTGATAGTAATTAGTTAGTTGTTAGTGGTATTCACCCATTCTGTAATCTATTATCTGTGTGCTCAGTTATAGATTGACAATTTGAGTAGGAAACCTGATATGGTTTGAAACTAACTTCATTCTAATTTATTTACCTAATTGAAGGCCATATTTGTTATTTACTAAAATCATGCGAGAGTTTAGAGGATGATATAACTAGCTGTAGTTGATGTACCTTGTTCTTCCTTCAATTTCTTGAAGCTTGCGGAGACTTTCTCTAAGGATGGAGTGTCTTTTTTGGCTACATGTCAAAATCTTGTCCCTCGACCTTGGGTTATTGATGACCTTGAAACTTTCAAAATGAAATGGAGCAAGAAGTCCTGGAAGAAGGCAAGTGTCATGTGGATATAGAAATATACAATTTTATGATGCATTTTATGTCTTCTGCCATATTTTGTGCAGGGTTAAGGCTCTAAATTCTGTTACATTGGCAGGTGATCATATTTGTTGATAACTCTGGTGCAGATATCATTTTGGGTATTCTTCCATTTGCAAGGGAGCTCCTTCGGCGGGGAAGTCAGGTTTGCTCGCATGTTACTCTATCATTTGTTTTTTGGTCAGGCCGTTTAAAACTTATGTCATAACTAAATTTTGTCATTTGTTACCATCTTTCTTATGTTTTATTTTATTTTTTGAAATGGGAGAGGGACAGGAAAGGATAGTGGTAAGCCTTTTTTTATCATTGAGCGCAGTATATCAATGTGTTGAAATACTTGGAATTTATTTTGCATTATAAGGAATATAGAGGAGCTAGATATTATGTTAATTTATTATCAATACTTTAACTGGGTTAGCCTGACTCTTCTTGGTGTATGACGTGATTCATTTTTAACTGCCTTGTGCAACAGTGCTTCTCCATTTTGATGTTCTGCTTGAATTTGAAATTGCTTTCCATGTGCTGCTCTCTCATGATTTTATTGTTTCAACATATTTTATGTTATTTGCATGTAGGTTATATTGGCAGCTAATGAATTACCTTCCCTCAATGATGTGACTTACACTGAGCTAACTGAAATTATATCAAAGGTAAGGTAACAAACAATTAGGTCTTATGGTATATGACAAAGATCTCTCCTAACTCTATCGTGCTGATGCACAGTTAAAGGGTGAAGACGGATGTCTCATGGGTGTCAGTACTTCAAATCTTGTAGTTGCCAACTCTGGAAATGATTTACCTGTAAGGAAATTACAAGTAATTTTCTGTTATATTAGGAAAGTTTTAGTTCTATATAGTTATTGGTCTATATTTCATCAGTTCATTCACTTGTATGTATGGTGATTACTGATTACATTAAATGTTTTTTTCTTGTTTGTTCAACGGATTCCAGATTATTGACCTTACGGGAGTGCCACAGGAACTAGCATGTCTTGCCAAAGATGTAGATCTCGTCATCTTGGAAGGGATGGTAAGCTCTTCCTTCCACATTATATATACTTTCTCTTTTTTTTTTAGACCAGTGGCATGCTCCTACAGTGGTGAAGGAAGTTTTAAGCTATAGTTTTGGGTTCTTACTTTCTTTCGAATCTTGCTCCAACTTTGTTTCTTTTGACAGGGACGTGGAATAGAATCAAATCTTTACGCTCAGTTTACATGTGATTCCCTCAATATTGCTATGGTAATGCATTTTATCAATATTTTTACTTGCTTCTTAACAAATGAAAATGTGATTCTGATGATTTTATTCTTCTATCTTATGTCATTTATTTTTGTCATTGTTTTACAGGTAAAACATCGTGAGGTTGCAGAATTTCTTGGGGCACGCTTATATGACTGCGTGATCAAATACAATGCAGTTTAGACTTTAAACTTAGGGTGATTCTTTTTATAGGATGAATAGCTGATGCTACATTTGCAATTAGTCTAGTCTTTTTTATTGAATTACTTATCTTTCCCAATAATATTGTTGTTTTTGAACTAAATGTTATTATTTAATATCTCATAATATATTACTTGATCAAATTTAACAGCAATTATTTGGAGTATCCAAATGTTTTATTCATTGATCTCGGTTATGCACTGAATTTTTAACAAAATATCTATAATTTTATTCTTAATCAGAGCAAAGGTGAAAGAAAAAAAAAAACTTAAACATTAATTGGCACATTTTAGAATGAAATTTTAGTACTTATTAAATTGAATGTTTTACTTGCACTTTGATTTACTTGGATGTTATGTTAGTTTCTAAGTGTAGAAATGTGCAAAAAGTATTTGAAAATTTAGATTTTCGATGCATTAATTTTTTTATCCCAATAAAAAAAGCACCTTCTAACATTCTATTCACACTATCAAAGATTTGTCGAAAATGTTGATTTCTTTTGTGAACATAATCAATTATGTTTTAAATATTTAAAAAATATATTTTTTGTTTTCTAATTAAAATAATCATAATAATAATAAAAAATTAAATAATATATAAAAAATAACTTTTTTTTACAATTTTTATTTTTTTAAAATAAAATTATTTTTTATTTTATTTTTACAATTTTTATTTTTTTATTCAAATAAATTTATTTTTTATTATTATTTTTCTTTTAATTTATTTTTTATTAATTAAATCAATCTTATCAAATTATAATATTTATATTCATTTTTTTTAACTCTCTTTTTCTTAATTTAATCAACCTTATTTTTTATTATCATTCTTTTACTTTTTACTCTCTCATATAATAATTCTAATATGCACACACATCTTATCTATTTTCACATAATCACTTAAAATGGGATAAGTGGTTATGTTTCGCTAATACTTGCTTTCTTTTACTTCTTCACACGTTATTACAAAAATATTTTAAAAAATTATAATTTAAAAAATATTTAAGAATTTATTTTAAATAATAATAACAGTAATATAGTTTAGTCTAGATCTAAATAAAATACATATTTTATATTTTAGTTATTTAAAAATAAGACAAATAATTAAAAAATTATAAATAATATTGATTGACATAAAAAATAGTTTATTATGTGAATTTATTATTTATAAAAAATATATAATCTAATTAAATAAACAAATTATTTATAATTTTTAAAAATAATTATCTTAATTTAAAATATATAAAATAATTTATTTTATTATATATATATATATATATTATTTTTGTTTAAATATAAACTAAATTATATTATTATTTGAAATTTAAAATTATATTAAAGTATAATTTATAAAATAATTATTTTTAGTTTCTTATGAGAGATTAATTACAGATAAATGAGAGAATGAGTTATGATATTTTAAGTTGACTTGAGTAAATATGACATCTGGGGTGTATGGAAGTTTTTCTCTAAAAGTGAGTTATTGATTTAAATTTGAAAGTACCTACATTTACTTTTATCACATTTTGCTATTATTAGTTAAAATTTATATATATATATATATATATATATATATATATATATATATATATATTGTATGAATGGGATTTAAAAGACACGTGATTTGATATGTCTCTAATTTTTATGAATTCATGAATTAAAATGTTTTGTTAATCATTTAGTGTTGGACAGAGTCTCAATCATCGCTCTTATTTTTATTTTTTTTAAGTTAAAAGATGATGAAAAAAATTTACATTGCTTATTTCAATCTTTAACTACAATTTATATTATTTGTCAAAGTCATTTCGTAAATTGATTTTGAGTTTAAATCTAGAATACTATTAGAGGTTCCTAATCTTGTCTATTACATCAACCGTATATGTCAATTTAAAATATTTTAAATTGAAATATCACTTGTACTTAGTCTAACTACCATTTGGAAAACATATAATAATTTTTTTAATATATATATATATATATATATATATATATATCAATTATTATCAACATTTATAATAATATAAATATTTTTAGATATATAAATTATATTTTAGATTTATAATTAAATTTGTAATAAAATGTTTAAATTATGATATAAATATAATTTTAGTGTATGTTTAGAAATGCGAGTATCATTCATTTACATATAAAAAGTTTATAATTTCCAAAAAAAAACCCTTCCTTGAGAATAAACGGATGGAATGTTTAAATTAGATTATATATAATATATAAATAATTATTATTATTTTAATAATAAAAATTATAATAATAATCATATTAATAATTAAAATAAAAATAAGTAAAATAATTATAACATTTTAAATTATATTAATAATAATAATTTTTATTTGATTATAATTTAATTATTTTAATTTTTATTAAAATAATTTTTTATCATTTATATCAATCAAATTAAAAAAATTATAATTTTGTTTATTTATATATTAATAAAATTATATATTTTATTAGAAAAAGGCTTTTTACATTGCAGTGGGTAGTGGGTGTTCTTTTTTTTTTTAATATTTCTGGACTTCATTTTTTCAAAACATGTATAAGAAAGTTGTACAGTGTTCATATGCATTTTGATTATCAACACAAAAGCACAGTAAATGAACGAATATTAAAGAAACTGAAAAGCCGCAATTTACTTCCCTCAATAACTATGATTGAAAACATGGACAACATAAGAATGAAGCAAATGAAATGTTTGATAAAATGTAAAATAGATATTAATTAGGTACCCATTTTGGCTTCTGCAACCTCCACTTCATCATTGTTCATTAGGTATTGGTTTTCATGGTAGATATCCCAGATTCGTCTAACATTCTCTGGTCAAACATTGATTGTTGTGTTGTTGTTATTATTATTACTTGTGAAGTGTGGTTGGTGGTTTAGGAGTGGTTTGGTCTCATCTCATCCAGTGGAGTGACTCCGAGACACCTCCTTGTGCCACTCCAATAATTTTGTCTAAGTTTTTGTTTCAATCATATTCATTTTTTGTGCCTTATTATCTTCAATTCAATGTTATATGAAGAAAATAGTCTAATATAATAGAAAATAATTATTGCGTCATGAGACAAATTTTAAGGTTAATTTATGTCCAAATTCAAATTCCAAGAAGATAAAAAAAAAGTTTATATAGTAATTGTTCTTGGACTTATTATACTACCACTATTAGATAATTATTTGACCATTTAACTTCACATTGGGTCCCAACGATAAAGTTCTGTTAATAATAAACATGTTAAACTTAAGGAATAACACATATATAATTGAAGAATGAAAGTGAGTTTAAGTATATAAATTTTTAACTAATCATTAGTTTCATACTCAATTCTAAAAATCAAATCCTTTTAAGTCATAATAAGAAGAAAAAAAAGTATTTATTTATTTATTTTTACTTTGCTTCTTTATCTTCTTTTTTTTTTCTATCCTTTTTCATTGACCATCACCACCCTCCATTCCTTTTATTTAGATTGGACGCTTTGTAAAGGGAAACATGTACATTTTAGAGTTTAAAAGATAAAAATGCTAACATTAAAGAGATAATTAAGACGAAGCATTAAATTTGCAACGTAATTTTTGTTTTATTGATATAGAATTATGAAATGGCATGAAATGTTGGAAAGTTATCGTAGAAATAAAGTTATTGTAATAATTAGAGTTTTGCAAAGCCAAATCTCCGGAGCAAAGTGGGAAAGAGGGATTATTGATTGAGTGGTTGAATTATTATATGTACCTTTTCTTCTTCTTGATAACAAATATAAGGCCAATATTTAGAAGATACACATGTGTGGTATAATATGTATTGTGTAATCATTTACCACAATAATTATAATTAATCGTAGCCACAAATAATACCAGGGACTGGTATCTTACCTTTTTCATTAATCTTTATCAGCCTCCAAAAAAGTTCAAAAATGCCTTTTTTTTTTTTTTTTTAATTTCAAATAGTTACTACATTAAATTTCTTCTCTTTATAAATCCGAATAAGACATTGCAACTTAATACTTGTAAAGTCTATTGTTAACAACCACATGTGCTGCTTTAGGTGAAATTATGTCATCAACTTTCTTCCCTCACCAAAACCACGTTTTTTCTCATCTTAATTATCATTCATTACAAGGGATTTCGTGTTTATCTTTTCCCTATGTCATTCTATAACAGCTTTAGAAGAGTATTGACAACATTATTTAACATACTCTATCGTTAATAAAACTCATTAAATAAGTAATTAGACTCACAACTTTTTGTAACCTTTTTTGTGTTTTAACTAATAGTAAAGGTTATGTTTTTAAATTTGTTGCATGCATTATTTGTTACAATTTTATTAGACACAACAAATATAAATTTATTCAACCATATTTCCTTAAAATTATACTAATGATGGGACAGAGATGATAGGAATGACACTGCTAATAATTATACACTACTAGAAAACTAGTTTTTTTTACCAATTTTCTTGCAAAAAATTGTTTAAATTTATAGAAAACTTATTTTTTGTAATTTTTACAAAAATTTGTAAAAATATTCCCATGAAAAATGAGAATTTTTAGTAGTGATAGTAACAAAAATAAATAAATAAAAATATAATTATTCATAGTATAAATTAATTTATGTTAAAATAAATTAATCAATTATAATTTACATTTAAAATATATTAAAAATTATATACTAAAACAGATTTCCATAAATATACATAAAAATATATCGTTATTTATTTATCAATATTAATTTTAGTACATATAAATTTGTATATAACTAATATAGATATGCAGTTGTGCTTGAAGGTAAACATAAAACCTTAATATTTGTGGTTGTGCTTGACGAACTCAGATGCAATCAATCTTAACATTTGATGATGGGTTGAACCTTTGTCTCCTAACTAGCTCATATTGATAATTCCAAATACGACCACATTGTTGTTTCTTTAGGTTGTCACCAAACTCATATTTTAAGAAGTGTTGAAGCCATCTATCCCTTGAATTGAAAACCCTACTACGATGTTGGAATGAGCACTTGTGGATTCGTCAGTTTGGAAACTTTGACTTTCACACTCATTCTTGGCATTGGTCTTATTTTTTTCAACTTTAACGTCAAATAATTGTGCGACTTTGTATTTAAATTCGTAAATGTGAGGATTGATATGTTTACGTTTTAAGTTTGACGAGAAAAAATCTGAATTGATCGGGAACGGATATGAGTTTAGATTTTTCTCGCTTTAAAAGGTCAGGGTCAGGGGCGAGGATGGATATTACAATTTCCACCTCAATCTCGTTCTCGTCCCGACTTTATATTTAAATTTAAATTTTAAAATATTAATATTTTAAAAATATTTCCTTTTCTTTTTCTATTATATATAAGGTCATTTTTTTATATTTCATAAATTTTTATTTTTCTTCTACCCATTTTTTAATTTTTTTGTCTTTTTAATCTTTTATATAAATTAATTTATTGTATTATTTTCTCTTACCTTGCAGTTTTTCATATTTTCTTAATCTCTCTCATCAATTTGTTTTTTTTTTCAATCTTTTCAACCAATTTGATAACACACAAAATTAATTTTTTTCTAAATATTTTACATAAATCTTAGTAGTAACTAATATTATTTTATTTATAATTTATATTTATTAGGTTTTATTATGTCATATTTTTTATCTTATTATTTTTATTTATCATATATCAAATTTTATCTTAATAAAATAATTGTATTTTAAAGGATTAAAAAGAATTGATGATTTAAACTTTTATTACTTCAAACTAATTAAATAAGAATTAACTTATTAAATATTTCCTTATAAACTATATATTTCATATTTTTAAATGATAACTTAAAAATAAATTAACTTATATATAAAATCAAATAATAAAATGTTTGAATACAGTATTATAATAATAATGTTATAAGTATTCAAATACGAGTATTATAATAATAATAATAATAATAAAAATAATGTTATAAATATTCTATATATATATATATAAATAATGATTAAATATTTCTTTTACATACATATTTTAATATAAATATAATAAATTAAAATATATATTTAATTAATAATTATTATAAATTATAAAATTATAAATATTTATTTATATATAAAACATACATAATAAAATTAATTTATTATAAATATAATTATCTTTTTAAAAATAATATAAATCGGAGGTGAGACGAGGACGGAGAACCCAAAATCCAACGAAAACGAAAATAAAAACTTAATTTCTAATCCCAACAAGATGGAAATAGAGATCGAGAAACCAAAACCCGTCTCATTGTCATGCCTACATCCTATGTTTCTATGTGTACATCCATTCTCGTTCTTCAATCTTCATATCAGGTTTTTATTCAGTCATACTTCACAAATTTATTTGAAATGTTTTAATTACAATGCGAGTCATTAAAATGTTTCAAATATTTAACTTCAAAGGAAAGAATGAAAGAAATATAATTGTAAATATAAATTAAACTAAAATTACTACTCATGTACAAAGAAAAAATAACTTGTTATATATGGACATGACTTTTGAACAAGAGAGTGGGTACACTTTTTTCTTTAATTTGTTGTCATAGTGTGTCATGAGTGAGACTAATTAAAGAGTCCATACATCATCAAAACTAATTAAGAAGAAACCGTAGTATAAAGAACTTGAATCATTAATAACTTCAAGAATCAACAATTAATTTGAAGATGGATCAACTCAAATTGTCTTCTTCTACATTTGTCTCTCTCCAAAAAATTGAACGCTCATAAACTTAAAATCGCATTTAATTAGCTCCTAATTGGCTTTTAATAATTAATAGAGAGGAGAAGTGAGAGTACCATCATCATGTCATCATATCAAAATATCGATATGGAATAAGATTTTGAAAAAAATAATAATTTAAATACTAGAAAAAGTTGGGAAAATGATTGAGCTGTGCATTAACCATCCCTTTTAAACAAACTTGTTAATAGAAGGATCTTATTTTGAAAAGTAAAATAAAATCACTTCTGTAAGTATTAATTTAGAACTATTAACTGTGTTGATTTTAGTAATGTACATAAAAAAGAAAAATTGAAAACAAGAATAGTTAGTGGCGAAGGATAAGAATGTTTTGGATGTTATTCAAAGCAAATTATGATGTATAAGTGGAATATTGGCTTGTTGGGTGGTTTCACCAAATTGCAGAAGTGAAAGAGAAAAAGAGAAGTGAAAGGCATGCATGGAGGAGATGTATGTTTGCTGGTAAAAAATACAAAAATGGGTTGACTCGTGACTCTTCTTTCTACTCTCCACCAAACCAAACATCAAAACGACACGTAGTAGCATGGACCCATGGTCGTTTTTTCTTTCTCCCTTCTCTCCCTTCAAAGTTTCAATTCCATGCCATGCATCCAATTCTCCAAACACCAACTCTATATATACTGAAACCAACCTATCTATCTCCTGTTCGTTTTCATTCGCACAAATCCTCAAACACTTTGCAACAACATGGGACTCCGCCGACAACACCGGTGGCGGGGCTAGTAAGTAGCAATGGCTTCCACCATTGCTTCGACAATGCCTTCCACCTCCACCGAGCCCGACCCCGACGCCGCCGTCAGGGCGGTGAGGAAGCGCTACGAGGGCCTTCTGACAGTGCGCACGCGGGCGATCAAAGGCAAAGGCGCGTGGTACTGGGCCCACCTCGAGCCCATTCTCATCGGCAACGCGGTGAAGCTCAAGTGCTCCCTCTGTGATTCTATCTTCTCTGCCTCCAACCCTTCTCGAACCGCTTCCGAGCATCTCAAGCGTGGGACGTGTCCCAACTTCAACCACTCTTCGCTGCCTTCACCCTCGCCTATTTCCACCGTGCACTCCCACTCCAACAACGGCAGAAAGAGAACCTCCACCTCAACCTCTCCGAATCAGGACCGGTCCGTTCAGCATTTGGTGTTGTCCGGTGGGCAAGATGATTTGTGTGCTCTCGCTGTTTTCGAAGACAGCGTGAAGAAGCTTAAGAGTCCTAGGAATTTGTCGCATGTTGCTCCTCCTGAGTTGACCAATGACCAGGTTAACTCCGCTGTTGGATTGTTGGCAGATTGGTTCTACGAGTCTTGTGGCTCTGTGCCTCTCTCTGCCCTTGAACATCCCAAGTTTCAGTCCTTTCTCACCCAGCTGGGTTTGCCGGTGGCTCTGTTGAGACGCGAGATATATGGTTCTAGGCTCGAGGATAGGTTCGGGGTGGCCAAGGCTGAGTCCGAAGCTAGAATCAGAGAGGCACTGTTTTTTCAAGTCGGGTGTGATGCTTGGAAGGGCGAGGATGGTGTGGTGAAGTTTATAGTGAATCTTCCCAATGGGACTAGCGTGTTCCACAAGGTGGTGCTAAATGGAGGCGAGGTGTCGTCTAAGTATGCTGAGGAGATTTTGTGGGAGGTGGTGAGGGGTGTTTGTGGGAGTGATGTGGAGAGGTGTGTAGGGATCGTTTCAGACAGGTTTAAGGGTAAGGCGTTGAGGAACTTGGAGGCTCAGAACCATTGGATGGTGAATGTTGCTTGTCAGGTTCACGGGTTCACGGGTTTGATCAGGGATTTTAGCAGCGGGCTCCCACTTTTCCGGGTTGTCACTGAAAATTCTCTCAAGGTTGCTAATTTTATCAACACTGAGTCTCAGGTTAGGGGTAGTTTTCTCAGGTACCGGATGCAGGAGCTGGAGTGTACTGGGTTGGTTCGAGTTCCCTCACCCAGATGTAATGTGTCGAAGGACTTTGCATCTGTGTTTCCAATGTTGGAGGACATCCTGAGCTGTGCTGCAGTGATCCAAATGGTGGTGATGGAGGACGCGTTTAAGGTGGTGTGTATGGAGGACCCATTGGCCAGAGAGATTGCCGAGATTGTTCAGAGTGAGGGGTTTTGGAGTGAACTAGAGGCGGTTTATGCGCTGGTGAAGCTCATCAGAGGAGTAGTTCAGGACATGGAGGCGGAGAGGCCGTTGGTTGGTCGGTGTTTGCCTCTCTGGGAGGAGGTAAGAGCGAAGGTGAAGGAGTGGTGCGTTAAGTATAGTGTTGCAGTAGAACCTGTGGATGAAATACTTGAAAAACGGTTCAGGAAGAACTATCACCCTGCATGGTCAGCTGCATTTATACTTGATCCGCTATACTTGGTTAAAGATGCAAATGGAAAGTACCTTCCTCCATTCAAGTGCTTAACTCGTGAACAAGAGAAAGATGTAGATAAGTTATTGACGAGGCTGGCTTCACGAGAAGAAGCTCATGTTGTGTTGATGGAGCTCATGAAGTGGAGATCAGAAGGGCTTGACCCTCTTTATGCACAGGCTGTGCAGATGAAACAACAAGACCCCATTACAGGGAAGATGAAGGTAGCAAATCCACTCAGCAGTAGACTTGTTTGGGAAACTTGCCTCAGTGAGTTTAATTCCCTACGCAAGCTCGCCGTGAGGCTCATTTTTCTGCATGCAACATCATGTGGCTTTAAGAGCAATTTTTCTTTCATCAGGAAGGTTTCTGCCCATAAGCAGTCGAAAATTTCCTTGGAAAGAGCTCAGAAAATGATATGCATTGCAGCTCATGCCAAGCTTGAAAGACGAGACTTTTCCAATGAGGAAGAGAGGGAGGCAGAATTGCTTGCCATGGAAGGTAGTGATGATGGCATGCTGGCTGAAGTCTTTGCAGATGCACCCCTAATGTAATCTGCTTCTTTTCAACTCCTATAGATTTCTGTTATTTTAGGATTTATCAGATTTTTTTTTTCCAGAGCTGTTCTACTATTCCCTTATTCCCAGTGAAATATTTTGTGACTTGTAAGATAAAAAAAAAAAAAAAAGATATTGGAAGAGACCTGACTGTTATGTCATCTTTGATTCAAATGAATCATCCGTATTTTTTTCCATCTTTTATTTGGGTTTCTTAGGTTTCTAAAGGACGAACAATTGCTCATTTATTAGCATAACAACAACTGAGGAAGTGGACTAGAAGAGTGACACAAAGCGCTGCTTGAATCATCATTTGTCATGGGAATTGTTTTGAACCATATTCTCAAATTAATTTATCATTTATAATAACTTAAAAAAAAAAAAAGCTTCATTACTTGCGAATGAATTTATAAAATTGGTCGCAGTGACCAAGTTCAAACTTAGTCTCTACCTCGTCCGTGAAAATTGAAGACTAATTGCCAATAATATTCACCAAGACATAATTAGTCCTATCTACAACTTGTTCTTTTGTTTCACTTTATGTAGATCAAGTGCTAGGCTACAATATTTCTAAATGCCCGTGGTATCGATTGAAATATTGACCCACAGTCTCAGCATCTTTATGGACTGATTATTATCGTTAAATTTCTGTGACTCGTCTTTAGCTGTTGAAACTGATATTATGTTGATACCAATCAGGCACTGAAGCAAGATATTTAGAAATTTAAAGAAAACTGAATTTGTGGTCAGTATAAAAAAACATAACAAACGACTGGAGGAAATATTGTGGCTAGAGCAATTTCCTCTTTTTGCGTTAAAAGACCAGAGTTTTGTGGAAGGAGCTTTTAACTTAACGTCTTCATTTGAAAGTGGAAAAGGCATCCTACAATAGTCAATGACTTTTGTATATGCATCTAATTGATGCTTCATGTCTTGATATGACATAACACCATGCATTGTATAGATTCTGCTTGTCATGATCAATTGTTTGTGTAAAACAAGATGAAATATCTTAAAGTTTGACCAACTAACCTCTATCACATCCAAAGGCCATAGAGTTCAAGTTTAGTTTCCGAATTCAGTTGACCAAAAGGTCCAACTGGTTTGAGAAAACTGCTCGATATAGGAGTTTGAGTACACGTAGGTTCTTTACCAAAACAGAGTCTATTCGTGTTTCTCAAGCTCTGAACTACTTCAACATTGACGCACAAGTTAGGTGGAGATGCCTCAAAAGTTTTGCTTGACAAAGGAGGGCATACATAAGCAATTATTCATATTTTGTTCCAAGAAAATTCTCATGTTCTTATCATCAGATGGACATTTAGTAGATCATTGTCTTTGAAAGTCTTGAAGTTTAACACCATTTACGAGTCAACAGATATTAAGAACAGGAACCAGTGAGTGAGCCAGGAACAAGGCATATATCCACTTTCAAGAAATTTCCAACTTCCAAATGCAAGAATTTATTTGTTATTACTTTGTCTCCCTCTTGCTGAGAAAACTGTTGATACACGTGATTGCTTCCCTATTGTGAAGTGAAAACCTATTGCAGGCCAGTTTTTGGCCTCAACTTCTAAAGTTGATTCAAGTATAGGATTCTTCTGTTTCCAACATTCTCACAATACCATCCATCCCCTTCTAATTTCTTTTGAACTCCTGAAAAGAATAACATAGTTGCAGATAAATCTAAAGGATAAAAGATAAAAGATACTCCATATCTGTAGGAGTAATCCTAGCAATGTTTCATCATAACTATATATTATATGATTCTGTTCTCTATTTGAAAGATAAAATGAGAACAGTAGTTAATTAAGAATTTTTTTTATCAAAAATGCTCCGAAGACCACATCGATCAAGAAAACTGTTGACATTCATAATATTTACGTTATTATGGAAACACATCTCACAGAATATGTGGTTTACATATGCCATATATGTTCTTTAAGTTTTCATGTTGAAGTTAAAGTACAAAATGACATAAAAGTAGCAGGCCCCCAAAATTTGAATGTTGCTTTTTTTTGCTGCAGAGGTGGAATTGCTTGAACCAGTAGGGTGGGTGGCAAACCGGAATTGGTCATGACGTGGGTCAACCTCGGAAGAACATGAGAAAGGATATTTGTTGCCGCAGAAGCACTTCTTATAGATAATCTGGCATATCTACTGGAGTGTTTGTTTCTGACAAATGGTGAGGCCCACCATGGGGGAAGTGGCTGTCCATGTCACTGCTTTGGTTGTCATGGTCAAAGAAAAGTGAGGTATGAGTGGCCTTCCTTTACATCAATCCACTCTGTGTTTCTGTGTGTGTGTGTTTTTATTGTTGTTTTGGCTTAAGCCAATGTCCCACAACCCTTGATTTTTAAAACCATCTTTTGTGATAATATGCTCTTCTAATGGAGGCCTGATGTTAACTGCTTATATTAACGTTGAATATTGTAGGTTTGCTGAACGAACCGTTTGGCTTCCCATGATTGCTAAAAAGTCTTGGGAAAGTTGAAACAAGGAGTGCAGGGAAAGAAAATAAAAGTGAAAGCAAGGAGGCCTGTCGGCATAAGGAGGTACATAATATGGCTCACGGGATAATATTGCAAAATGCTACATAATAAAAGCATTTTTTTGCATGTATGTTCAGGGGATTATTCATATTTTAACCATGAACAATAGGCTGCTAGTTCTAGGCTTGGTGGCGATGACATCTCATATCACTCTTCTCTTCTTGTTATAGTCATATCATACGTACACGAGTTACTTTTTAAAGTCATACTTTTACAAAGTTGAGAAATTGATGTAAAGCTTACTCTGACATATGACACATACATACTATCAATTTAATGTATGCATTCTTCAATCTATTTGTCAATAATTAAATAAATTCTTTACCATATTGTAGATGGAGATGGAACTGTGCTGACCTCTCCATCCATGCATACAAAGACTTTCAGAAATATCCAGTGCATGCTGTTTAAATCCAACAACTTCTGTTTGTACCACGGCAATTTGTCTTCAACGTTTCAGAGCTTATTTCCTATATGTATCTGTTCTGTCACGTGTATGTAGTGTATAATATATAGGCTAAGTGCAGGTTAGAATTTCTGCTGACCTCAATGCTAGAATTTACTGCACCTCCTTAAATCACTGGCAAATGTTCGAATAAGTATTTAAATGAAATCATTAGCAGAGTAGAATACTGTATTGTTGATTTGATAATTGATTTAAAATTGTAATCAATTTGGTGTAGAGGGTGGATCATGTCCGCAAAGATAAGCAATTCTGACTGCCTACCAACTCAAAGGTAATTGTGTTTTTTTTACTTTATTAAAATATAATTTGATTTTGGCGAGTTCTTAATTTTCCGTTGCTTGTATGGTATAATTTCATTTTTCATTCCAGTCTGGTTCTTGTATTAGAGAGCAGAATGTGATGATTGGCACAGGAACATCTTTTTGTAAGAGTCTTCACACTTTCATGTTCCCTCATCATTAATCTTCTTTTTCAGTGCCTCTTTTTCTTCCTCCTACTAAACACAATCGTTCCTGCTTCAAATTTGGGTATGGTGCTAGGTAGGCCATACTCTTATAAAGAGAATCAAAGTTCAAATCTTGCATAAGGTAAATTGTTGGGGGAGCGTTTCCCCTAGTCGCGGCAGTGCCTGATGGGTTAGTCAAACTTGTAGGAAATACCTTGGTAAAGAAAATATTGTAGAATAGAGAAACAGTGTATTCTATAATTTCAATGGCAGTATTGACACCTAAACATTCCATTGTTATTTTGGTTTTTCAATTTTATATTTTAAAAGCTTACTTTTTTTTTTAATTTTAAGTTTTAGTGAATATATTAAAAAAAAGAGTATAAAAAATATGTATTGCCTAAAAAAAAGGTAAATATTTATTTAAAGATTAGAAAGGAGTGAAGTGTTGTTAATAAGATAATGATGAATTTAACTTTGGACCTAGGATTTTGGAAGATTTGAAATTTAAATGTTTTACTAAGACAGTGATTGCATTTAAGTCGAAATTCATCTGCTCTAAAATTGTGGACTGTAAATACTTGAAACAATGAAACTCTCAACCCAGGTTGGGGTTTCATCCCTCTTTATATTTGTGCTAAAAAAAGTTTAGGGGAATGGAGAACAGCTATTAGAGAGAGATGTGAATGAAGTGTAGTAAAGATTTGAATATCTTTAAAATATAACTCATCAAACAATTGCTTGTAATTTGGATAATTTTATATACTCCATTGTGTTACTAATTGTTTGAAGTGTTTCCTTTAGATTTTTTAAGCTTCAGTGCTTGTTTGGTTTCTTATAGTCATCGGGATTTTCCCACATCAACAATATTTTCCTTTCATATTTTGTGGAAGAGGAAACCAAAATTTGGAACGGTTGCGGTGAGAAAACATGGAAACAAACAGCCAGAGTTCGCGAAGAACTTTTCTGATAATTTTGTTTGAAGAAGAAAAAGAAAGATTCCAATAATAATGGTGCAAATATAGAGTTCAAATGCTTAATTATGTGGACAAGACATGACATGTTCTGTTTTTAAATAGGCAGACAAGGGCGTTTACCTTTATTTTATTATTTTGTTATTTTGTTCATAATTACTTCAGCTAATTTGGATTTATAGTAGGTTGAGTTTCTTTTAAGGAAAGTTACTTTTTTTTGGGGGGTTTGGTTTGGAGTAGAAAGTTTCCACTACGTTTTTTTATACATACAGCGTATTATTCTCTATTAAATTATTTGAATCATGAAATTCTTGTATTAATTTTTTATTAGAAAACAACGTATCTTGAAGTTAATAGCTAAGGAAATTCTTCAAAGCAATGTTACGAATAAAAGAAACCGAGTAACTCTTACACTGTTTTTTAATATTTTATAAATAAATTATCAAATAAAAAGTAAATATATTTAATATTACTCTGAGGCTCATACTGAATTTGAATAGAGGATATTTCAATCGTATAGTTTTGGTTTCAGGTCTCAATCTCTGGTTTCAAAGAGATCAAGTATCAATTTCAATTAGTGGAACAATGACATGATATCATACTACTGGATTGTACAAAAAAAAAAAATATGATTTATTGCTGACATGCATATTTTGACCAGGTTCTGTTAGTATTACTCAAAACTTGGTTAATTTATATTAATTCAATTTTTTTTTTATCTGGCTTAAGCAAACAGTCCAACTGAAAAGACATTTTCTGTAACTAATGACAGATGAACAACTGATAGATTGCCAAATTAAATTATTTAATGAACTGCATGCAATTGTTATTTTACTGATTACACTTGCTTTAGGTACAAGGCATTATGTGCAATTTCTATCACATGGTATGTAATTACTTTTGCAGTTTCCACTTAACACCTGACCCTACAAACATTGCCAAGACAAATTCCCTCTGCATGAAATTTCTTTCTTTTCTCATCCTGTCTCTCTGATTCTCCCACCAATCTTTGCCACAATGGCTCTTGTATAAGTGGCCCCATTTTAATTAGAAAAAATAATTGTGTTACCATATATACTATTATTTCTTTGTTACTCAGACCCTCAAATTTTACATCGATTGCATGAGAAAATGGGTCCTAGCAAGCACACTTGACAATTGACAGACTAATACAGAAAAGCAAAGGGGCCTAACTATTTGAGAGTGCAGACATTATATCACCAATCTGCAAGATTTTTAATTCTCAATTGGGTTAAACTACTTTGGGAAAGTGACCAACCAATAATCATTCCCACTTGATACCTTACTATACCCTCAATCTGAAAGCAATGGATGGAGATCTTATAACTACTTATTTCTTCATCCCAAGATAATGCTGGGCTCCAATTTTTCTTTTTTCTTCCTGCTAAACAATTCAAGAAGGTTCAAGATAGTACAGCTTAGAATACAAGAAGAGAATGAAAAGGCTTTAACATTTAGAAGGAAAAATTCGGTATTCAAAATTATCTTTTTCTTTTTTGCCTTTTTTACTAGTTAGAACTGAACTCTCAGAAGAAAAAGAGAACAAAGTAATGTAGTCATCAAATACCTTACTTATATATAATTCTTATAGTGTGTGTTTTCATTTCAAGATTTATGTTACTCATCTAGTTTCCTCAATTTCTTTCATTAGCATTCCTCTAACTTTCTGTGATAAACACCAGAGTCAATGAGGACTTTAACAAAGTTAATTAACGACAGACAGATACAGTGAAATTCAAGTAAAGGCATTTGTACTTTTTGTTAAAATACACATTAATTCATGCATAAAAGACACGCAAACCAACCCTCTGGATCTCTTGTTAAATAAAGTTGGAAATATTTAAGTTTTTGCCAGCAAATATTGCCCTGCATTTAAGAGTTTTATATATAGCTTTAATTAAGACAAGAAAGTGATTCAAGAAAGCAATTATCTATCATTATTGTGCTTATTACAAATAAATCTAATTAATTCTTAATTACAAAAAATAGATTAATTCATCCATTTAGTTTTAGTTTATGATGGATATTGTTCATATATTATCTTCTAAATTCAATATTTTTTCATTAGCACTTACTGAATCAAAATTAATCCAATCACTTTTTCATAATTAAATCTTTCTTAAATTTACCTTTTAAAGAGTTTAAAATATATATTTGAAAAGTTATGTTACAAAATTTATTTTTGAAAATTTTAAAAAATATTTTGTATTTTAAAAATTATTTCTAATGGAGAATTGGATATTCATCATAAAAAAAATTGTTAATGAATGGCTTGAATCATATTTTTGTTATATAGATTGGTTGGATTATATTTTTAATTAATTTTTTTATAAATAAAAAGTAAATAAATAATTTGTTATTCATTCAAATTCAAAAAAAAAATGGAATGCATCAAGTTTAAGTTTTTAATTTTAATTTTTTTTCAGTAGTGGAGAAGTCGTATGATTAAGAAAAGAGATAATGACGGATCTTGTTTTACTTTGAGAAAATACACTTTCAAGTTTCAACCATCGACCTAGTTCTGAGGCCCCATTTAAAGCTCAAAATTGAAGCTTGATTTAAAAAATAAAAACTTCTCATCATGAAAGTATATTATTAGAGAAACCCAAGAAAAAAAAAACATATTTTTTTTTTGCCACCAAAGATGTTTGTATTGAGAAAATATATACAAATAATTTGTTCTGATTCCAACAAGAAAATCTTAATATAGCTTTAATATGCTCAATATTTTAATTTTCCTCCTTAATTAGTTAAACAATCATAGAAGCTTGAACCTTAAAGCTCATAAGATAGAATAGAAAAGAGGGAATAAAAAATTACAAATAGAGTAAATTTTCACGTAAATTATGAATATTTTTTACGCTTTAGTTCGAACTTAACTTTCAAAATATAGAACAGTTAACGAAGTAAACAAAATTCTCAAGTTCACCTTCAATGATGTTTATCTTGAATGATGATGATTACAAACTTTCTCTGTTTCTTATTTTTTAATTTTTTGAAAATTTTGTAATTATTGTTTACTCCCCAAACCATGCTTAGAACAAGTGGGTGTCAAAAGATATGATTATACTCGATTTCGTATCAAAATAAGATATATTCCATTGAGCCACCTAATGAAATGCTAGTGTTTCTAATCTTATCCAAATATCCATGCATGCTTATGATTTTTGTGAAGGATATAACTATACATTACTTAACCTACCTATCCTACAATCATGACCACATGTGCACATTACATTGTATGATAAATTTCTAAACTTTCTTTACTTCATTTTGAATGATTTTTGTCGTATATATAAAAGTTGAAACACTGTTCACATTTTTTCATTCATTATTCATCATCATCATCATCACCATGTATAGCTTTAATCTATGTTTTTTAACTCTCATCTCATAGCTTTACTTCCAAACCCCTTTTTTCTTCTTTTTGCATTTCTTTAGCTCCATAACTTGTAGTTGAAAAAATAGTTGCATGATTTAAAGAAAGCGAAATCACGGATCTTGTTTTTGGTTCAAAAAAAATACATGTTGTTGTTCAAGAATTATAGCCTAAGCTAGAGGCCCCATTCAAAGGCCAAGTTTTGGAAACAGTTTTGAAAAATAACAACTTTTCATCATAAAAGTAAACATAATGCGACAAAGTGATACACAATTTACGACAAGAAAATTTTTAATCATTTGAGACCAAAGATTTTGTATTAATAAAACTGTGATGAGAAAAAGAAAGCTTTTTTATTTTTATTTTTAGAAAAGAAGGACAGTGAGAGCTAACTTCTAAACAACTTTAGCTTTTTAAAACGTTCATGTAAGCTTGGTTGCTACGGCAGAACATTTTGTTGCATTATTGGTGCCATTGTCAACGTTTGTATTCTTCATCAAATCCAACACATACACCTCATAACACTTTTCTTTTTCGTGGATGATTCTCTTTGCCAACACAACATTCAAAATTTCGAAGAAACAAACATAACAAAAACTGAAATTAAACAAAACACTAGTTAAGAACAAGGAGCAATATTGCTTGCATCTTGTTCATTATACCCTTATTATTGGATCCATTAAGTTTTATTGGAACCTGTTGTACATTTTTTTTCTAATTCTTATGCACATTTTTTTCGGAAGTAATTTTTTTATAAAGATTAATTTAGAATGTTTTCAGCAAATTAATTCTAAAACGTTTTAAAAAAAAAATTAGAAAGTCGATTTTAAAACACTTTTGAAAAGTTTTTAGAAAGGTTAATATAAAATATTTTCGGATTTCAGAAAATTTATTCCGATTTTTTTTAAATCAATCTAAAATATTAAAAAAAAAAAAAGAAAAAAACTTGTTCCAAGAACCGTGAACCTACTTCTTAATTAAAATGGATGTAACAAGTTTTGCTCTGGCCAACCTACTGGACTCGTGCACCCCCATCACAAGCTCTTGCTTCCTGAACCCCCATAATGTTTCCTCGACCCAAGTCAAATATCTAAATACTCTTTCCATAATTTTATTGTTTACCTAACCCCCATAATGTTTCCTCGACCCAAGTCAAATATCTAAATACTCTTTCCATAATTTTATTGTTTACCTAACTTCTTCTTCTACTACTATTTGTGTATAATTTCTGCACATTCATCCCTTAGCACATCTATCCTTTGATTATTTAATTTTTTATGTTATTATCTCTATTAAATATCTTTTTCTAATAATGAAAGATAAGTAATCGTTAATATTATATATAAATTATACCTTACTGCATTCAAGTTACACAAACATACTCAAATTACTCAATTTGAAACAATGTCATTAAAATGAGGTTGAATTTCAGAAAAACTAATCTATAAATGTATTTCGGATTGGATGTTCTAGAATGTATTTTTGGAAAGACCAACCCGAAAATGCATTCCAAATTGGTTTTTCCAAAAACGTATTCTTGATTGGATGTTTCATAATGCATTTCCAAAAAAGACTTTCTAGAAATGCTTTGGAAACGCATTCCAAATTGAGTGTTCCAAAATAATTTTCTAAAAAAGCCTTTCCGAAAACATATTACAGATTAAATGTTTCAAAATATATTTCCAAAAAAGTCTTTCCAAAAATGTATTTTAGATTGGGTGTTATAGACTATGTTAAGCTTTTCTGAAAACATATTTTGGATTGGTTATTCCGGAATGTGTTTCTAGAAAGACCAATCTGTAATACATTTCAAAAATAAAGATCCAAAAATAAAGATGAAAATAAGTGTAAGGGTAAAATAAGGTTTAATTTAATTAGGGGTGCAGGAAGCAATAGCCCCATCCACAACCCTCCGATCTCCACCGTCCCCGCTTACCCAATTCGGGCTACATAAGCCCAACCCATAAAGACGAAGCTTAGTAATTATGGGCTCTTATGGCAGGTGTGGGCCCATGAAGGGGAATAAGAAATATATTATAGAGAAATTTCTTTTGAGGGAGAGAGCTATGTTAATGTTAATTCAAATAATTTTCTAATCTTATGTCTTTTTTAAATTTTTTATTAGTATGTCACGTTTTTACATATTCTATTGATGATCAGTCTATATTATAAATTTCGACGAATATTTGCTTTCTATAAATTTCTTTCCTCTGCGTTTTTTCTATTCATAAATCTCAAATTCAAGACCTTTAAGTAAGAAAATCAAATCTATTTCCATTTAAATTAAATAATTAATGGTATTTTCTAATATAATAATAATAATAATTTATTTAACTACTTAATTTAACTATTAACTCTCAACAGGTTATTCATTCAAATGTTATGAGCTTGAATCGCGTAATTAAGTGTAATGCATAAAACCTAATTAAGAGTCTTTCAATTATATATGCATAAAAGAAGTCTCGATTTAATATTTCAATACACATACCTAATTTTTAAATCTTTACGTTTTTTCAAAGCATTTCTATATCTTAACTGAAAATCATTTTTAAACTTTACCTCACTAATTTATTTTAATTCACATTTCGCACACAAAATTTAAATTTATTCAAATTCATGCTATCTTCCGAAACTAATTAGATATAAATTCTTTTAATTATAAGTACCTGGCAAACAAAATATTATTGGAATTATCCCTTTGCGAAAGAAGAAATAATAATAATAAAAAAAAACAGAATGTTTCAATTTATCTGAATATAATACAACAATTTATAATTCGATATATATTAATGTCTAATTTGTGTCCAATGATATAGCAAAAGAGGTGCTATACCATATTTAAAAAACGAATAAAAATTACAACTTTTTTAATAAAACCCATTTGAAAAAGAATTAGGAGTTATAAAAAATTATAATTTAAACTAAATTTCAACAAATAGTAAAAATGAGCTTGTGAAACAATACGGTCCTAATATTTGTGGAAAAGAAAAAACAGAGAGTAAAAGACATCCTTTCAACACTCTTCTGCTACGATTCATGTCTGAAGACGAAGATGGATCCCGGAGATACATGCATGCATGCGTGCATGAATAAATGAAAAGAGGTAGATGACAATGGTGGCGGATAAGGTACCATACTTAGGTCATCAATGAGGTATGCTCACCCATTAAACTGTGTCTCCTTCATGGATACACCCAAAAAACTATTCAACCATAATTCATATATAGACCCACAACTTGTCTATACATAAAGTTTTCGTTTTTATTTCTTACATCTCTACATTTACTTAATTCTTTCTTGTATACGTGTGATCGATGTAGCATCGGTTCATTTTGCGTCATTTTTAGAACCCCACGTTCTCCTATTCAAAATATTCTTATCCCATTACATTCTTCAAACATCAAACTGAAAAAAATAATTTTTTTAGAAAGAAATGGAGGAACCAGGAAATGGGGGGATATTAGTTTAATTTGGAAAATTGTGTAGAGAAAAAGGAAGGAAAGTTGTAGAGAAAGAAAGTTGAGAATTATTTTTTGCATGATCTCCTTAGTCCCCAGCAGAATCAGACAAATGGGGGCATCTTATAAAGCAAATTAATTAAGAAAGTAGAGACCAATGGACAGAAAATTTACTCACACTTGAACACTTGTTAACAATGTTGATGGTAGGGGAAGCAAATGAATGTGATGCAGATCTTTGTTTGCTTTCTCTAATGCAGAAAGAATCAAAGAGAGTTTCTTAAGTACCATAGCCAGCTAATTCTATCTTCTCGAGGGTGTTTGGCGTTGGCATGTCTCTAGGGTCTACCAATCCTATACTTTGCTTTCAACCTCCTCTTTCTCTTCTTAATTTAAAATAATCCTCAACATTTTCCCCAGAAGGTTGCTCTTTCGACGTGCAAAAACAAGGCCAATTTCAGTTTCATGGACCAATAGAGTCCCTTAATTACGAGACCAAACCTTTCTTGCTTCAAGAACAAGGTTTCTTTTATAAAAATCAAACCTTTTAGTATTTTAATTTGTTTACATGTTTCTGTAAAGATTTTTATATTTTAGATAGATTTCATAATGATTTGATGCTTTCCAAGAGAGATATAGTGATTTGTTTAATGGATTTTTTAAATCATTATTCATTGTATTGTGGTTTTTTCATCTTTTATAACATTAATAAACTTTATATATATATAGAGAGATAGATAGATATAGATATATAGAAAGAGATAAAATAAACAAATTAATCGAGAATGAGCTAGATCAGTCACCTAACTAACATCCAAGTTGAATATTCTAAAATCAAACCTCTAAATTCATTTAGTATAGTTTTAAAGTACCGAGAGTCTAATAAAATTGATCAAATAAGAAAAAATTATCTAATAAAAAATTAATAGATATTATATTTATAAATGCTCTCATAAAGCATACATGAATATAAATTTTTTTAATTTCGTGTCTTTTTTACTAAAATTTGCATAAAATTAGTTTCTACAAAATTTTCACTAAAAATATTTGAGAGAAGTGCTCCGAAATATGAAAATGTAATGTCTTTTTTGTTTTATGTCGGTGAGGGATAAGATTTTGTGTGGGTAAAATTGAAATTGTAGAGATCTCAAGTCTTAAAAATATAATTTTTATTTAAATAAAAAGCATGATTTTATTTTCATGGATGATAGAATAAAGTTATGGTTTGCGTGAATGAACAGTGTGATAACAAAACAACTTTATGAGCAAGAGCAGTGTACAGACAATCCATGCAAACAAAACACTGTGCATATTACTCATGAATGTGCTTCTGTCTGCATGAAACATGATTGTTCTTCTCTGCCTCACCTAACATATGGACACAGTTATTAGTATTTAGTTAGTGATCCAAGACATTTGTAGGAAAACAAATTGGTTTAAAGTTTCATATTAGGGAATGGTTTATGTTGTTGTTGTTGTCGTCTTTCTATGTAAGCATCGTGCTCACAATCCATGTTTTGTGTTAAATCTATGAGAAACTGCTTATGTATTTCCTCAATGAAATAGGAATCATGATTGTTGAAGAGTGAATCATTTTAACTAGAAGCCAAAGTTATTATTAAATACTTTTCTAATTTGTTGTCCCAATATCCACGAACCTCACCTAAGCTCCATTTGGTCAATAGAAAGATTGGTGAAATCAAATACTTTGTTTTATTTGGCATGGACTATATATATGTCATTTTCTTTTTTTCCAAATCTCATTTTTTTTTCCTGTTTAATTCGTTTAATCAAAGAAAATTGGAAGAACTGTTTTTTAATTGAAAGAAGGATGTATTTGGGTTTATTATTGCCAATTATATGATATTCTTGTAATAATCATTCTTATATATTATTTAAGTAAAAGAATATTAAAAAAATTATTCAATTAATTAAATTCATGTGTTTTTTTTAGCTTTGCATAGTAGTCAGAAGATTAAAAGTATTCAATTTAAAAAAACGGAAATGATTTAGAATAATTAATATAAGATAAACTGTTTTTTTTTAATTATTTTATGATTGTGAACAAGATATAAATTAAATTCTATTTGTTAGAAAATCTCTATAAAGTAATAACTTAAATATTTTACATCATCACTTTTTTCCAACATGCAACAAACTGACTGAAAAAACAAAAAAGAGATGGTGAGAAATAATTCTCTCTTTCAAAATTACAATTATTTCTCTCTAATTTCTAAGAATTTTATCTGTTATTCTCAAACTTCTCACCCTTCTATAAACTCTTCCGTTCATAAAAGGAAATGAATAATTTGTAAATAGAGATTTATTAAAACTAATATATTTGATCAAGTTTTCTATATATTTTTAAGGATAAACTAACCACCTTTGTTTCTGCAGAAGTTAATTCGGATCTACTCAATCCCAATCACTAGAAAATGCTGAATTGTGCATCGGAAAGATTTTAAACTTTGTCACTCAATAATGCATAATACAGTATATTTTCCATATACAATTTAATTGATGAAGGTCCTAGAATGTGTGTACGTGAAAGAAAGTCTGAATCCTTGTCCAAAATCTTATCATAACGTTATAGAAAAATAATGAAGGAGAAAAGCTACTTTCTATCTTACTTTTAGAACAACAAATTCATTATTTACTCCAGAACTATAATTAAATCCATAACTAATTATAAAGTTAATCATATAGAAACTTATTAGAAAGAATTAATTAATTCAAATCTTCAAATAAACAATCCAACATAGAAAGCCCGACAAAATCAATTAAGCATTGTTTTTTGTTACATACATGTCATTTTGCATTATCAAATAATATTTTTCTGTCTGAGCTAGTTGGAATGACACATGACCCACTATGTCCAGCGATATCCCTTGGTTACTCCTACATATTATATAAGCGCAAGAACCAAAGACAAGGCACTCATCATTTGCACCAAATCTCACAAAATCCTCTTCCATTCAACAAACCCACGGAGGAGTTAAAGGAATCAAGAGAGTGAATCATGGCTTACTGGTCTGCAGAAAATGCCACAAAGGCCTACCTCAGCACTTTGAAAATGGTGAGTATTCATTATACTCTAACTCGTGTCTTAAAGATTCCTAGCCAGCTTCTTCAATCCCTCTCACTATATATATATATTTCAAAAGGTTTGTATGACTTGATCTGATCTTTGGGTTATTATTTTCTTTAGGGTCAAAAGTGCAAAGAACCAGATGTGGCTGAGTTTATATCAGCACTAGCTGCAGGAAACAATGCACAACTGATGGTTGTGGCATGTGCTGGTGCAGCAGACTCTACCACTCTAGCATTGGTTGCTGCTGCTCATCAAACTGGGGGCCAAGTCATTTGTGTTGTCCCTGGTCATGAAGAGCTACGAGCCTCCAAAGTTGCCTTAGGAGTGGCTTCTCAGCAAGTTCAATTCTTGGTAGGAGAAGCTGAGAAGCTTCTGTTAAAGCAATGTGACCAGGCAGCAGATTTCGTGCTCATTGACTGCAACCTTGAGAACCATGAAGAGATTCTTAAAGCAGTTGAAGAGGGTAGGAAGCAAAATGGCACAGTGGTGGTTGTCGGGTACAATGCATTTAGCTGCAGAAAGTCTTGCCTGGCATGTGGATCAAAAACACAGCTTCTTCCCATAGGAGAAGGTTTGCTAGTGACTAGATTTGGAATCAGAGAAACAAGTCCAAAGTATGGAAAAAAAATGGGAAAGGGCAAAAGCCGTTGGGTTGTGAAGGTAGATAAATGCACTGGCGAGGAACATGTGTTCAGGGTCAGATCTCCTCAAAGGAAAGTGATCCAAGCTTAATCATATGTATCTACACTTTCTAGGAAAAAATGAGTGCTAAGTTTTGCTTCTCAAATATGAAGCACTAGGAGTTAGTAAGTATTATTTTACAATGTATATACCAAATTATATGTAAAACATATATGGGATAAATTGTTTGGAAACACATGTTATGCTTCGCATATATATGTTCTAAAAAAGAGAGACTTAAGAACACGCATAACGAATCAGAAAGTATAGACTGAGTCAAGTTAAATTGATTGATCCATGCAAGTATCTTTGTACCTTCGCCGAAGGTTCCTTTATGACATTTGAAGTCACGGGGGGCACGTATACTAATCTCACTAAGAAAGTCTCTATTTCTGTTGGACATAGAATATAAAATCCATAAAGAAGATTCAGGAAAAGATTGATTCTTATACCAAAACGTGTGCATCCTATTATTAACAATAGAATAATCAAATTATAGATCTGCTAAATTCAAGAACTCATAAACTAAGACCCTCCTTCTGAGTTCCAACTTGGCACTTAAGATATATAAACAGCCAACGTACGTAGCATCAAACATTAACAGCAGAAGAAAAATTATCTAAGAAAAAACAAAAGCGGTGAAACAAAAATTTGGCCAATTTGTTCTGTAAAATTTCTGTAAAGAATACCGTTGGCTGAACAATCTGCTGAATGAGATTATGATCGAACTTCTTTCCCAAAAAATCTATATTGTAGCGGTGTAACATTTTCTACATCAAGTTACCACATTAAAAAATGTACCAAAACTAAACCTGTTAATAAACCAACTCATTTTACTTCATTCTAGTCAATGCTAGGGTTGTATTAAAATTAAACTTGTTAATTAACCAAAGTTATAATCAAATTGATAATGAATTGAATTGAATTACAAAGTTGAATTATATAAATATTTGGTTTTAAAAAACTGAAATATTTCTAAATCCAACTGTTTGATTTATTTATTGATAATACTTCAAACAAATTAGATAGTTCAATTTGGTTCAGTTTTTTTGAGCTATATATAATGAAGTTTATTTTATCTAAACAGCTATACAACTGAATGAATTTAATCGAACTATTATAATCAGTTTTGTAATAGTAAATAGTTAAGTTCGATGTCATGCTTTTTATTTTTTTGGAAAACGATTCTTTGACAACTGAAAACAAACATCCGTTCGACAACCGGGGTTAAAAAGAAATTAATTAAAAATAAGGGTGTGACTAGTTAAATTGTAGAGGGGTAGAGATGTAATATTGTAAAAATGGGGGATGTAATGGTAAAAAGTGAAATATTTCTTCTTCCCCTCGCTCTTGTTCTTCCTCTCGCTCTCGCTTGTCTTCTCCGTCTGGCTGTTCTTCCTCTCGCTCTCGCTTTGTCTATGTTTAAATATTCGGTTCTATTCATTTCGTTTAGGGTTTAATTTGGTTGTTTATTACGGTTTTGAATTCGTTTGCATTGTAAAGAAGAAGCATACAACAATCATCGAGGTTAATGTATTCTTTGCTTTCTAATTACTCACAGATTCTCTGTTCTCTGTTTTCGTTCACTGTTGACTATCTCAATAGTCATAAACATATACCATGACTGGCAAAAGAAAAAGCTCCAAGCGCAGCGACTTCTTCAAGTACCCAAACAGAGATGGGGAAGGAGGAGATAGCGACCTTAGATAGCGGTTAATTAGAACCGCTTTTAAAATATATATTAGATAGCGGTTCGTCGTGAACCGCTATCTAAAGTATCGTTCGAGATAGCGGTTGGCCAAATAACCGCTATCTAAAGTAATATATGTAAAGTAATCGACTATAATTGGATAATAATCGATCATAATGTATAGTTGAGATAGCGGTTGGCCAAATAACCGCTATCTAAAGTTATATATGTCAAAGTGATCGACTATAATTGGATAATAATCGATCATAATGTGTAGTTTAGATAGCGGTTGGTCAAATAACCGCTATCTAAAGTCATATATGTCAAAGTGATCGACTATAATTGGATAATAATCGATCATAATATTCGATCAGGGAGGAGATACCGGTTGGAGGAGAAGATAAGGACAGCTTTCTTCCATTCCACTCTTGCTCCAATCCCAATAGTCTGAGATTGAAGATGATGTCAACGAGTTAGCCAAGAAGGTTTATGGCAAACTGGAAGGAGTGTTGAGAGATAAATGATCTACCTTAGGTAATGCTTTGTTTTCAGTGGGAACCGGTGGAGATTGAGGTGAAGGTCTTGTAGTCTCTGGATTGTTTCGCGATTCAATCGATTGAAATACAGCAAAACTTTCTTAAAAACTTTTCAAGTTATTTTAACTGATAAAAATAAGTTTTAATCGATTAAAACTCTGTACAGAAAATTTCAAAGTTTTTTTAATCGATTGAAACGAGATTTAATCGATTAAAAGAGTTCGATCGGTCATAACTAAATTCGATCGATCATAACTGACTCGATCGGTCATAATTGTCTTCTAATCGATCATCCTGACCCTTCAAGTGATTTTAATCGATTGAAACGTGTTTTAATCGATTGAAACGTCGATAAGTCATTGAAACATTGTTAACATGACAACTACATCTCTCGTTTTCATTTATATCTCCCATGCTAGATAAACGATGAAGGATACAGTTCCTACCATTGACAATAATATAATAGCAACCATCTCCTTTAAATTATATTCATATTACAATACACTAGTTTACCTACTTACATCATGCAAAGATACTGATCGCTTGAGCGATCGGTGAATGACAGACGAAACGTCCTACACAGTTAGCCATCTAATAAATCTTGGTTCACCACATATAACATTTAACTGTCGCTCAAGCGATTACAGATTCGCTTGAGCGCGATCGAACCTGAAGCGACCTTACATAGCGGTTAATAAGAACCGCTTTTAAAAATATATATTAGATAGCGGTTAAACGCTAACCGCTGTCTAAGGTCTGTGAATAATCGACTATAAGCTATAATAATCGATCATATTCTCTCATTTTTCTGAAGTCGCTCAAGCGACTTTATCATCGCTCGAGCGAAAACACCTAATAGAATGGGGATTCTCGGGTTGTGTTTCGCTTGAGCGAATATAATCTCGCTCGAGCGATATTTGTCACTTTTAAGAGCGGTGAAAGTCAAACCGCTATTTAAAATATACTTTTAATAGCGGTTCGGTCTAGAACCGCTATCTTAAGTCCCAATTTAAAAAAAAATATTTAAATTTGGAAATTCCAATTTTATTTTCTCATAATTTGTACACTGATACACCACAATTTCGGGGTATATTTCAAATTAATCTAACAAAATGTGCTTAACTCGAACATGACATTTTTGTGTTAATTATGTGCTAAATTTGTATAGCCCACATTATATGCTTAACCACTTGACTATATATCATTAAATGCACAATGAGATAAAAAGTAATGTACAATATAACATTATCACAGGCCACAAAAATTACATCATAAAGGTCTGCATCAAATATAAATTACAATTACAACAAAACCTAACAAAATAATTCATCTACACAACACTTATGTCGCCTTTTTTCTTTTCCTTGAATTAGTCGTCCACGGTGTTTTGACCATAAAACTTTTATACCTTATTCTTGGATGACCTTTAAGTCGCGTATACATATTTGACCCTTCAAAATGCAACTTTGATTCTTCGTTGCTTCAACATGATGCTTCATCTCTTTAATACTACTACCTTCAAATACTTGGAGAAAAGTACATCCCACATGATGGAGGATTTACTTCTTTTGTTGATAGTTTTGCTTCATCTAACAATTCGTGTAATTGTGTTACATCTTCCTCTAGTTTTTCAATTGTTGATTCCTGTTGTTTGGTTACGGCAATCAACATTTGATTCTCGACACTAATTCCACACAACATATTAGTAAAATTTTTCACTTCTTCGAGATGCATAAGTGGTATGTCCTAATGCTTCATCACTATATCATGAGCAAGCTCTTCATTTCCGACGCACAAGTCATGAATAACCTATGAGTAACAAACAATGTCAAATTGAAATCACATTTTGACATATGGTAAAGTAATATTGCAAACAAGTTCTACTAAATTTTTCATGAACTAACCCTATTATGATTAAACGCAACTACAATCTTGCTTTCCCCAATTACAACGAGAGGTCCATTGTAAAAATCTCGGAAATCGACTTATCTCATTACATGATTTGGTATTATAAAGTACATGCTCCATAACCCATACCTGAATTCATATAAACAAAATGCACAATATCAAATCAGACTGACTATATTGAAAGTATTCTAACAAAACTTATATCGTAATTTAAGATTTACTCGTAACAAAAACACACATCCTAGAACACGGAAGTGTGAACAATTTCTTCGTTTCTTCAAATAAATCGATGCTTCACATAAACTTCCAACCAGATATTCATACACTCGCTTTTCCCCAATTATACTTTCCAAGACAAGATATATTATCTATTAACTTAAAAAATCCACAATGTGCGATACCTACTTCATTAGGGAATAAAAACTTCGATAAACCTAAAAGTATGTACAACCTACAAAAGTCATCGACATCCTTATCATTTTGACGTTTAACAAGTTCATTAAAAATCATTTCCAAAGTAACATGTTTCCCATTAAATAGTCTCCTAGTATGACAATCAATGTTTCCTTCTACAATGTTGACATTTTCGCCTACTACACGAAGTCCTAAACCTAAACACACATCTAATAGTGTAAAGCATACTATCTCGGACCTTATATTAAATCCTCCTCTCTTTTCAACCCATCTACTTATTAATTCACTAAGCAATGTTCTACTAATTTTGACCTTTCTACCCAATGACATCAACCAACTAAATGGTGTTGCCTCAATACGACTTCTTTGCTCGTAGTAAGAATGTTATTCACTTCACCCAAATAATTAGTCCTGCAAACATGTCGCAAATATACCCGAAAATCACATTAAATAATTATAATTATCATCAACAATATCCTATATTATATAAATGGATACAACAT